ATAACTCTGCGATGTAGGTCTTGGTTGCAACAACAGCAAAGAAAACACGGATAGAGGTTGCATTAGCGACAGCTGCGTACAATTGTTCAGCGGACCAGTCAGATACCGCGTGGTTGCCACAGACAACCCATCGGGCACGATATCTGCCGTCAGACTTGATATCGCATATCCATTGGCCAGGAAGAACTTTTCTCCGGTTGGAGGGTCAACGAGTTCCCAGGCTTCGGCTTGCTGTAGCGCCTTGATTTGCTTATCAAAAGCAGGTTGCCACTTGTCCCACTCAGGACCCTCTTTGGCCTGCTTGAAAGTGCGAGGTACGGTTGGACCAGCGAGTGCGGCAGCGGCGATGGCAGATAATACTGGAGGCTGGTTGTCTTCCCACACAACTGTGTCAAGGCTGACATAGGCTTGTTGATAACCGTCAGACTTGGCATACGTGTTGCCTCGGAGAGAGCAACCGCTGAAACCGCCCCTCTTCTTGACCCAAGTGCCCTGTGAGTTTCTGACATGCTCACGTGTTGAGGCTCTGTTTGGTTGGCTTGGAGGAGGGCGAGATTGACGAGTTCGTCTAGTTGGTTGTGTTGTAGGTTGAAGATCGTGATCTTCTGTGGCAACTACTATAGTTGCTTCATCTATATCCTGTTGGATAGCTTCTTCGATAGCGTTATCGAAAGATGTATCAGTATCGTGCTGTTGAACAGTTATGTTAGCAGACATCTGCTGATCAATAGGGCTGTCTGGTTCAGGGGTTGGAAGAGGGTTTTGGGTAGTTGCCTCTTCGGCAGACTTGTTGTCAGTGGTTTCGTCCTGGCGGTCAGGAGTGCTGGACGACTTCTGTGCTCCTTCATACTCAACAGATGAGGTGCTGGTATCTGGATCAGCAAAAATGGCATCGTGATCAATGGTTGGGTCATTGTCTTCGTCCTGGTGCTTGCCCTGTTCATAGAAACGAACATCGCGGCAGCGGTATACCTTGTGGCTTTGAGGTACGTAGACGTAGAAGAGATGGCCGTGAAGTGAGTCGTATCCAACGAGATATCCCTTGATGGCTCTTGTCTCCATCTTATTGGCGCGGGCTGGTTGCAATGACCCCTTGCGGTGGAGATAGGCAACGCAGCCGAAAGTGCGGATATGGTGGATATACGGTACGTGATGGGCTTCGTCAAGATTGAGATCTTTCGCGAGCATCTCGTGGGGGCTGAGATGGCCTGGATTGGTTGCTTTGGGCAACAGGTTGGCAATCGTGATGACTGTGGTGACGGCATAGTCCCAGAGATAATCAGGAAGGTTGGCGTCAATCAGCATGGTTCGGGCCGCCTCTGCAAAAGTCCGGCCAGCTCGCTCTGCCTTTCCATTCATGCTTGGGGTGTCAGCAACAGTCAATTTGACTTTAATGCCTCGTTTGGTGTACAGCTCCTGCGAAAGAGCATTGAAAAGCTCGGTGCCGTTGTCTATTTGAAACGCCTTAATCGAAAGGTTGGTCTGGTTTTCGAAGAAGTTGATGAATTCTTCGATACGATCAAGCACTTCGTCAGCACGCTTGCTCTTGAGCAAGTATCGCCACTGGAAGCCTGTACGCGCGTCGATCATGTGAATTAGATAACGTGACTTTGTATAGGACAAGGGTTCGAATTGTACCAAGTCCATGTGAATGAGATGACCGGGCTGGGCCTCTCGAATGGGGGTTTCTCTGCTGATGAGTTGTTGAGATTTGCCTAGGTGGCAAGCCTCGCAGTGAAAGGTGTCAATTTCTTGTTGAGGAAAAGTTATGCCCACACGACGGCAGGCTTCAACGACCCTGCTCTTGCCCGCGTGGCAAAGTCGCTTGTGCATAAGCTCAAATGTGACTTTGTTGTTATTCTTGCTTACCATAGCAAGGTTAAGGGCCGCGTTAATTTTCGGGCCTTCGTAGTTGTTGGTGACGATAACGGCAACATTGTTATGCCAATCGAGTTTGGCGATCGCGACGTTGTTTCCAATGTGGATAGTGTCGTCGCTGACCTTGTAGCCCTGCTGACGGAGTGTGCCTTGACTCAGCAGGTTGACTGGGCAGTCAGGGCAGTACTGTACATCCTCAATTGACCAGTCGACCACCTTGTTGCTGTCATCTGGATCAACGGCAGTGAAGTAAACCGTGCCGTAACCAGCTGGCGATGCGTACTGACCGTTGGCGACTTCCATGGGTGGCAGTATTGCCTCGGTGAAGGAGGTGAACCAACTGAGGTTGTTGAAAGTGGTTCGCGAGCACCCGGAATCCAGGATAATGTCGTCACGGTTAATTCTGCCCGTTGCCATCGAAGTTGAGCACGGTAAGACTGTATGTCCCATTGTGTTCTGGTGGAGAACGTTCGGCGTAGCCTTGACCGCGACTGCCTTACCCTCCCGGCATTCGGAGGTACAAGTATGAGCAGCAGCTTTCTTGAGCAGGTTCTCACGGTACTTATGGTTGGATGGGATGAGGTCGGGATGGGCGACCCAGCAAGAGGTAGTCGCATGTTTCTTGCCGCAGTGTTGGCAGTCAGGACCATTGTAGTTGTTGTTAGGTCGCTGATTGTTGTTTGAGGTGTTACCGGAGGCCTTGTTGTTGCCGTTGCTGTTGTTTCCAACGGCGACGTAGCCCTTCGCGGCATTGAGTGAAGCAGTCCTTTCGGCATTGGCCTTGAATGTGAGATCGCGTGTGAGATCTTCAAGGGTCTTGGTGTTGTCCTCGACGTACTTGTCGTAAAGTGCTGGATATTCTTGTTGGCATCCGTTGAGTAGGATGAACATGGCTTTCTTGTGCCAAGAGGGGACCAGCTCATCGATACGACGAATGAGATACTGGCCACGCTGGAGATACTTATGAGTATCTGAGAAGTCCTTTCGCTTGAGGTTGCAGAGCTCTCGAACGAGCTCGGCGACGGCATCCTCTGAAATCTTGGGGATGATGGTCTTCAATTTGTTCATGAGAAGGAAGGGGTTGCGGTCAGCCGTCTTGATGTCGTATCCATCAGCGAGGAGACGATCGAGGACTTTGCTGATTGATGCGATGATGATGCCGTACGTTTCAATGCGCTGGCTCTTCCAAGTAGTGAAGGCCACAGCCTGCGCTGGAGTGATAGGATCATCGCGATGAGGTTGAGGGACGTCTTCATCGACGTACTTCTCGTAATCGAGAGTCTCAAGGGTGAGATGCAGTACTGCGTACCATTGGTCCCAATTTTCTTCTCCCTTGAGGTCGGGCACCTCCCAGCGGGCGCGGTTGCCAGCCACGATGACGATGGAGGTGAAAGATTCGTGATAGTGTGTGTATAGGTGTAGACGGCCTGTACGGTCGCGTCTGTTATTGGTTTTTTTTTTTTTTTTTTTGAGGAATCTGTACCTCTGCCGTTGCCAGTCGCGACGCCGCGATCTCTGGTCGACAGATTAGTAACTGCTCAATTGAACGGGCTCTACGCAGAGCTGGGCGATCAATTCATATGGGGTAAAAAGAAAAAGAGTCAACGCTGGGCTCTCATAACCTGTGGAGGCAATACTACTGTATTGGATCTGATGATGATGATGATGGAAAAAGCTGAGCGCTGGCTGGGCTGGATATCTGGGCAAGGTGTAGGTGGGGCAGCTCCGAGATGTGAAGGAGCTGCCTCACGTGACCCACCTGCACCTGCCACAAGAGGTGATCGCTCGACGAAGTAAGTACGCAGGCGCGCCCCAGACAGTATTCCCTAGTCCCCGTAGTCCATTGACTACTTAGTATGCTTTTACGGAGAGGTTTCTTACGTAACTCTTAAATATGAGTTTACGGTCGAAGTGAACGCCGAGCCAGCGTAGAGAAGAGCCTTCTTTAATAGCCTAAACTATATAATGCCTCCTATCCGGTAAACCTACTATGATTGATGGGTTTCCGTCTTTTCGTCTCTTAGTGAAGTGGATCAGTTCGGACTTATCAAGGTCAAAAGTGATTCCTTCCGTCGCGCCCCATCCTAAGGTTTCTTTCCATTCCTTGGTTAGAATATCACAGTTGTTCTCTAGTGATATTAAGCTTGCCAAGATAGCGACGTCATCGGCGTAGCCGAAACGAGATCGCTTCCTTCCTAAGCGAGCTATACCTAGCTTAAAAATGTTTAGCCCCCAAGTCATGTTGGATCATATTGATCCCAAATGATCCTTATGTTATCATCACGTGACCTGTATCATAGTTCTTCCGTTCCGTGAGAGGGTGCCTTGTGTCCTGACAGAATCCATGCATGCTCCTATGCGAGTCATGGACATAACCCATTCGGAATGGTCTGACCATCACGAAACAGGCCAGACTGTCATTTCCACTTGGTCCTAGCTCTACAAGACTTATTAGGATAGCATTAGGCCCACAAGCCTGTGGTGATTCCATCCACTCTTTAGTACGAATAGACGCTCTTTTCTGCTCACTCACATATGCATATTCCGCTGGCCACCCTGACTAACCGTCACTATCCCCGACTACGAATACTGTTACCAGTTCCGCAGCCTCAACTTCTGCAAACTACCCCTATGACTAGCTGGCCGTAACATCTGTCCTTGAGCCCGGCTTGAGTTTATCTTATATACAAGTCCTAATTTTAAATATATCCTTTGTTCCTTAGGTCGCCCTAGATTATTCTGATCTAGAATGATCGTTTAGCCCCTAAGTCGTATTAGATTATATTGATCCTAAATGATCCTTATTTTATTATCACGTAACTTGTACTATAGTTCTTCCGTTCCGTAGAGGGTTCTTGGTATTCCTGTTTTATCTGTATATATGGTGCGCTATAGCCGCCGTGTCCTGCGGGGCAGGCCTGAACTTGGTCATGCATGTTAGGTCGTAACATTTGGTTTGTTGCTTGGCACACTTGGCGGTCATTGCCGAACCTTTACTCGCCTTGGCTGAGCTTTGCTGTCTCAACTTGGGCATTGTATGCATAATACTTACTCGGAGTCACTTCCGGTCTCGGAAGCCCATTGACTGATCCTAGAACGTTCAATTACACTACGCGACAATGGTCAGAGATGAGCCGGCTTAGTGAAACTCAACGCAGAAGTCGTCTTGAGACTAGATGAGCCAAGAATCGTCATCTCATCCATACCACGTGGTCTCATTAGATCTAGCCGTAATTCTACTTCAGACAGTTTCGTTATCTTTAACGTCCTCTTTTGAGGCAATAATAACGACACAGTATACAGCAACCGCGGCAAAGAACACGAACAGGGCAGTGATTGTACTGAACCAGCCTACACCAATGCTTTGGATAGCAGGCAAACACGCAGCAGTACCAACCGCTGCAACAGCGTATCGGAAGAAGTAGTTCCCCGCTAGATTAGCACACTTTATTAGCATTGGTGATGTATGAGACCAGCGGTAGAACAGGAACAAACCTATAACTTCGGCGCTCCTGCCTTTGAACACATCCAAGCAGTACGTGTTGATGCTGGGAAACGCGATGACCTGGGCGAAGCCCTGGATAAACATGCAGATGACCGGAAGAGGGATCCCACCGACTGCCTTCTCAATGGACCAGCCGTAAATGATAATACAGATAGGGATCACGGCTCCCATTGCCACGAATGAGCTTCTCAGACGGTCTTCGGGGACTCGCCTACCCCTGATTTTGATCCAGCGCTTGACGGTCCGGTCTGCCCAGCGCCCTCCGGCGTACGTACCAAAGAAGAAGCCACATCCTGGTGCTAGGAAAAATAGTCCTGATTCGAGCGGCGACGTCAGGTGAAACCTGGGGTTGATGACGTATCGGATGGGAGTGAGCAAGGCTTGCATGTTCCACACCAAAGCTGAAGCAGCCATTGCCTATGTTAGATGGTTAGAGCCGCTGCGATTGAAGATAGAGTATACGTGGTTTCTGAGTGAACCTTACAGCCACAAAGAGTTTAGGGATCAGCAGGAGAGCAAGTACACGGAACGGGTTCGCCCAGTCCCAGACCTGCGCCACCTTCGCCTTAGTACTTAAGGCCTTCAGCTCGTCGACTCGCATCCGGTGGCTGGTTTCTGGGAGGAATGACACTGCCAGGATTGCGGTGAGTCCAGCCAGGGCAGACTGAAACCAGAAAAGCGATCTCCAGCTGTGGAAGTTGACCATAACACCACCAATGAATGGCCCAAAGCTCTGGCCGATGAGGGTGCCATTGAGGAAGAATGCGAGTGCGGTGCCTCGCTCCGTGGGCTTGTAGATATCACTGATACAGCTGGAGCCGAGCACAAGATACGCTGTTCCCGTAAACGCCGAGAACATACGGAAGACGAAGAATGCTGCGAGGTTTGGTGACAAAGCAGTTCCTACATTAAAGGCAAAGAAAGTAGCTGCTGAGATAATGCAGGGCTGCGCGGTTAGTTTTTGGTGAGCTGGTGCTACTGTTTTGGGCAGAGACTTGTCAACCTACCCATTTCCGACCGTAAACTTGACTGATGGGACCCCAGAAGAGAGTGCAAATGCCCATGAACAAAACGTAGATGGCGTTGCTGATATTGATGGTGGTTCCCGTTGTGTTGAGATCAGCTGCGATTTCGGGGATGGCAGCCAGAAGCAATAAGGAAGAGACCGTCGAGGCAATCCCACCGCAAGCCACAACCGCGGTAACGAGCCTCTTCTTGGCTGGCGTGAACCTGTTGTAAATGGCTTCGGTGTCTTGGCGGCTTAGGCGCGCGTCGTTATCGTCAACAGCCGGCACAATGCTGCCATTCTTCTCCGCATTGGAAGTTGTCGGTGCCAAGTCCGGGGTTTCGGGCCAGCCATCGCTACTCGGCTCCGGCTTTTCAGATTGTTCAACTCGGTCGTGGGGCATAATGTTCGTGGGCTGCCGATGTGGGACGAGAGGCTTGGCTTCTCCGGTCGACCATGCGGGGATGAATCTTAGAGAAGACTGTTACTTGGCATCTCCATAACATGGCGCAAAGATGAATGGGGATCCCAAGTTTTTCACAGCTAGCCAGTCGAAAAACTCGGCAAAGAAACGGTATTGACCGACGGCATTGCGAAGAATCCACCCGCGGCGGAAACGTCTCGAGCGCTGCACCTGGCTTACTTTTCCGACCTCGGTGACTGGACTGATAGATCATCCCCCGGAATAACCCAGTCATCCCCGCAAAACTGGTAGATGAATTGCTTGAAACAGAAGCCATCACTTCATTCCCACGAATAGGACATGGCCTTGTTGAGTCCAAACTCCATTGTAACATTCATGGGGCGCGGGGGTTAGCCGCGTGACGGACATCTCCCGACGGGCATCTCCCGATAATCCAGCAATCAAGACCAAATGGTGGGGATTGGCCGATGTTGTCGGTACCAGCACGGCAATGTTTGTGCCTCAGTGGACCTTTTGCGTGGTATCCAGACCTCCGAGATCGGCTGGCTCCGAAATCAACGGCTCGGTCGCCGAGTCCCCATCCGAGATCGGTGTCAATGGCTTGACCGGCTTGCGGCTCTCTGCCGGGCTCGGCGCCGATAACACGGAATCCTATTTTGGAATGAGAGACGTGAACAATGATGCGTGGTTGAGCCGCATCTCTGTCCGCAACCTTAAAGGGAGTTTGGTAGCGCAATGGTGGGCGTGATTCGGTGAAGCAGATGATCATCCCCAGCTTTTGCAAAGTCGCCAGAAATGACCGAAATTAGTAACAATATCCTGTCGCAGGTAAAGAGTATAGTTGGGACTCGTCCTGGGCGTCTCAATGCCCTTCAACCTTCTTCTAATTTTGACCCCCGAGAAGCCAGTCCTCGACTTTCAAGTGATGAAGAGACGTGATTTGTATTACCGGTAGTTGGAGATGCAGATGAGAGGTGTGCCGATAGCCGGGACGATGATGACCCGAGCAACGGAACAAGATCCAGTGCGGGGAGTGCGGGCACAACCTCTGCCCTGACTCTTCGTCATCTCAAAGCAGAGAGTTCGTTCGGGGAAACTTTCATCCTATCTGTTCTCGGCCAGCACTAACAGATGCCACTGCTCCGATGTTGACAGGCTGCATCCTCAAGCACTTACACAACTCGCACAATGATGGACAAGGGATCGGGTGCAGCCAATGACACGCAAGCTCTCAACATCGACGACTACACCGCCGCGCTTGAATTGGACTTCATCACGTCCAACTTTGTCAACAACCAGCAACTCGATATTACCAATTTTGGAACCGGACAAGACGGGCTTTTGCAAGATCTACAGAGTGTTGGTTCTATTGAATCTCTTGGTGTTCTCGGTGTTGAGTCATCTCATCAACAAGATGCCTTTGCACTTGCCCCTGCCACGACCGCTCTCGGTGGCCAAGATGTCAGCATGGAGTTTACCCAAAGGCAACCCGTGAATAACGTTAACCAGTTCGACGAGCCTGGCGTTTTCATGTTTTCGGAAGCCTTGGGCGATGGAGAGCCTATGGGACACCTGTTCGGCAACGACCTAGGGAATAATATACCTTCACTCCAACCTTCAGATACCACAACGCCGCCGAAGATCGGAACTCGCTTCTCATCCAAGTCCCTTCGTATATTGAAGACATGGCTCGCGAACAACAATCATCACCCATACCCAACCACCGAGGACATGGAGATGTTGCAGCGGCAGACTGGCCTCAGCAGACAACAGATTACCAATTGGCTGGCTAACACACGCAGACGGACACGGTTCAAAGTGCCGCCCAAACGGCCGCCCTCTCCAGCGATCACTTCATCGAGAGCCATGCCCATCAACATTCCTCCAGGCTCCGGCCTTTCCGATACTCTCCAAAACTTGAACCCCATGCAGAGATGGCAGGTTTCGCCCCCAGAACATGAACCTGCGTCTGTGTCGGCAATTGCCAATGCTGTATCTGGGTTTTCGTCTGAAGGAGAGGATTTGGGCGACCGATCTTTGACAGACACCATTCCAACGCGATCCTTGTATGGGCAGTCGTCTGCGAGCAGCGCAGGAACGTCGCACTCTAGCAGAAGCTCAGCCAATTCGGCGTACTCACACAACTCTCGCACGTCTCTGAGATCTCTCGAACCCCTTGGAAAGAGTGCAGTAAAGCGCAGACGACGTCGAGCTCTGGCAAAACGCCCCGAGGCCAAAGGCACGGGAACCCTATGGCAGACCAGCAATACGTATCAATGCACATTTTGTACGGAGACATTCAAAACCAAGCACAACTGGCAGCGTCACGAGAAGTCGTTACATCTATCCCTCGAGCGGTGGGAATGCGCCCCGACCGGCGCAACTGTACCCGACGCCAGCGGACAGCCGGTGTGTATCTTTTGCGGCGAAGCGAACCCGAGTAAGGAGCATCTAGAGAAGCACAATTACCAGGCATGCAGGGACCGCCAACCTGAAGATCGTACATTTTATCGAAAAGATCACCTGCAGCAACACTTAAAACTGGTTCATGATGCCAAATTCTTGAGGTGGCCTATGGGAGACTGGAAGTACGAGAGCGAGATTATACGTTCCCGGTGCGGCTTTTGCGGCCACACGATGTCCTCTTGGACAGACCGGATTGACCATCTGGCCGAGCATTTTAAAGATGGAAAGACGATGGCAGATTGGCATGGTGACTGGGGATTCGATGACAATGTCTTGAACATGGTCGAGAACTCGATGCAGCCTTGTAAGTGTTACCGGAGAATTTAAGCATGCAAGATCTAAGTTCTAACCGATGACGCCTAGACATGATTCACATGGAACGAAACTCACCTTGGCCATTCACGACGAAACAAGGCGTCCCAGAGACACCACCAAATGCATACGAGCTGATCAAGCTGGAGCTCAAACACTTTTCTGCCGAACACCAGAATACAAATGAGCGGATGCCCACAAACGCAGAACTTTTATATGAGAGCTGTTGCGTCATCTTTGGATGCGATTCAATTTCATTTTCCAAGAGACCTGCAACATCAACCCAAAGCTGGCTGCGAGATCTACTGATGTCGTCCGAGGCCATCGTGCAGCAGGCGCGCGTCCGGCCGATGAAGAACAACGCAAAATCACGATTTACGTATCTTAGCATTAACGGCAAAGCGTGTATCTTTGAGGCTTGTGGATTGGAAGAGCAACTACAGAGTTACGTGGAGATTTCGAAATTGATTGAGCCACAAATCTCGGACGAAGAATTACAACGAGAGGCTTGCAATATTGTCGAGCGAATTGAGATCTCTTCGCCAAACCCGTCAAAGACCTTTATGAACTTTTTGTTTAGTCTCATCAATGGATCCTCCCATTGGCTGGCTGCGTTCCGTCACAGGACTGGACTGTCACCATCGGAGGCTTCAAGTGCTATCCCTTCATCCGGCACATCTGATGCCATCTTAGGCGCCATCCCAGCAGAGCCCGGTCTCGAATTCTCAGCTGCAAACCTTTCCTCGGGAAGCACACCTGATCCGTCACAGGTGAACGCCGCCGGAGGCAACGCAGGCGAGATCAGCAAAGTGTACTCGACCTCCACGTTCTTCGTCAACGACGATAACTGCTACAGGAAACTGATGAAGGAGCTCACTCGTTTCGTGACGATTACTACATCACCACGCAACCCGAACAGGCGGATCCCCACCGACGCCGAGCTGCAGCATCAGGCGAGGTGGATTTCTTTCGAAGAGTAAGAATTCTCAATGGCCACTTGGAAGAGACTTACAGCTAACGATAGCCTACTTAGTGACGATCCTTGGAATCAGACACCAGCGGACAACCCAGATTGGCTTCGAGACTTCAAGCGAGAGATGGGCATTCTTGACGATGATCCAGTGCCAAGTCATTCATGAACGAGATTTTCATCTGGAGCGTAGCTGCAACAAGCGGGCCAATGGTACATTTAGACTGGTTCCCGTACGTCGCAAGACTTGCACTTTGCAAGTCTGGAAGACGCCCGAGGCGCAGCAGAGCAATTGAGCTTGCAGTACTCCGTAGAAATATTCTAGTTGCCAAGACGCATGAAGATGATGACTCGAGATACCTCAAACCAGAAGATTTTCTCCTCTCTGTCAACTCAGCGATGTCGGCCAGATCCACGCACGCCCTTCAGTGTGGGCGCATTTGAATCACAAGTAAGGCGTAGGGAGCAGTTGACATGTATTTTATGGGTCCTGTCATACGCCCATTCAAAGGGGCTAATACATCCCATCGGTAGCACCACCGTCCTAGGGCGTGAAGCTAGTCACATTAAAACAAGCCATCACGTCCCCCCAGACGAAGTAGGTAATCTGATGATGTAGAGTGCTGTAGTAAGAACTGTATTATTTATCATCAGTTGATTTGTCCCATTGACAAGGCGTCTTTCTTGGTTCTGAAATTACCTTCGTTAAACGCAAAGTAAAAGATTGGATCTCTTGAACGCCATTTTTATCTCGGTTTAGTTTCTAACCTTCGACCATCTTTAACCCCCAGAGGGCCAAACCTCGGACAATGCGTGTCAGCTTCTTGGGTTTAGGGTTCATGGGCACACCCATGGCCCTGAACCTCGCCCGCAAATTCCGATTGACCGTCTGGAACCGAAGTCCCTCCAAATATACGGCGCTCATACAAGCTGGTGCTAAGATCGGCGATACCCCGGCGGCGGTGGCTCAGGAATCTGATGTCATTTTCACCATGCTTTTCGATGGCCCGGCGTTAACCTCGCTTCTCAACGACGACTTTAAATCGGCACTACGCGGTAAAACCTTGATAAACACGAGCTCGATCACTGTGGAAGTCAGCAAACACGTAGCGGAGCAAGTCCAAAGAGCGGGAGGCAACTTTATCGAAATGCCAGTCAGCGGCAGCAAGGTCCCGGCGGAGCAAGGCACATTAGTGGGTCTCATGGCCGGCGACCCGGCCGTCACGGAGAGGATGCGGGCGGTGGTGGAGCCGCTCACCTCCGCTGCCGTGTACTGCGGACCAATCGGTTCCGGACTCAAGACCAAGTACGCGGTCAATCTCTACCTCACCAGCATGACGGTCGCTCTTGCAGAGTCGTTCAGTCTTGCACGGGCGCAGGGCCTCGATCTCGATGCTTTCGGACAAGTACTCGACGCCGGGCCGATGGCTTCTGCGTATTCAAAAATCAAAGTCGCCAAGATTGTCAATAGGAACTGGAACCCACAAGCGTTTATGAAGGATTGCTATAATAGCATGCAACTCATTACAGAAGCTGCGAGGCAGGCGAATGTAGAGTCACCTCTTGCAGAGTTGTGTCATTCGATCTACGGACAGGCGGACGCGGCCGGGCTGAGCGAGGAGAACATGATTGCGGTGTACAAAGTCTTCCAACCTTCATAAGAAACATGTAAAGGCTCCTTCACATCGCTTGAACAGAGGAGGCACTGGTCTCTGTGTATGTCCATAACTACTGGTGAAGCGATTATAAGAACAGTAGCGTGGTCTGACCAGTCACGTACATGTTCTGCGCTCTGATGGTTTGATCCACGCTTATTATCATGTTGGCTTCCCATGCGCGTCTCTGGAAGTAACCGTGCTGTACTGATTTTGTCTCCCAACCGACTTCATAGCAACGTGCTTATTTTACTCCGCGCCTTTGCCTGAATCTCGTGTGATGCAAGGGCCCGGGATCTCTCTCAAAGCAGTTGGAGCCAAAATCGCTGTACCACCAACACATGAACGGGGAAATAACCTCTGGGGGATATCGGCCGGGACCCCTGTAGCCTGTGCCGCAGCGACTACGCTGTAATGTCTCGTACATTTCCACACTCCTGCTGTCGGATTGGAAGTCCAATTCGACCGCGAGTAAGGGCAGAGCATGGGCCACCTCGAGGGAGTACAATTAGACCTCGACTACCCACCCAACCTCCGGTTGGAATCTCCCTTCTACTCCTTACGCAGAATCAATCAATACAGAGATATTGATACTTCGTCACCCCCAGGACCCTACGGTTCGAACCAAAATCCCTGTGAAAGGAATACCAACACCTGCATCAAGACTCATCATAGATCAACAACTACTTGAAAATAGAGGAAACATTCCAAGGTTTCCGACAACAGAAATGGCGCGTGCTCGGCTATTGAGATTTGGGTATTTCCAAAGTTCCTTCAGTCAACGGATACTACCACCGATTAGTACAAACAAGGGGCGAAAGGCGAGACCAAGGAACCGACAGTATGCCATCGCGCATTGAGGTAGCAACTGTCGTTTATGACGAAGACCAGTTCCACGAGTCAAAAACATCCAGCATCTATTCTTCCGCAACCTCGGTCTCTTCGAGCATTCTCGACTATCGCCAATTGCACGGCCGAACGTATCAAAATAGTTGAAAACAGGAGAGTACTGGGCCCCAAACGACCAAATACAGAATGAGGGTCTTGACTTAATATATACTGCGCTTTTGATGCTCCTCAAAAATCCTCTGTCATCCATTCCCATGGAAGGCAACGATGGGCCTGAGCGGGTACTAGATGTTTGGACAGGAACCGGGATTTGGGCCATCGATTTGGGGATCAGTACCCGAAGTATAAAGTCGTCGGCACTGACCTGGGCCCCATCCAGCCGGCTGAGTCCCATCGAATGTAGAATTCATCCTGGATGATTGCACTCTGAACTGGACCTTGGGGAAAAGTCACTTCGATTTCATCCGCCTGAGGTCTCTCTACGGAAGCATCCTTCATTGGCGGGCGCTGTATGCTAAAGCATCCAGTCACCTCAAGCCCGGAGGCTGGGTTCAGAGCACTGAGATGGAAGTCAGAATTAGGACTGTTCATAATGACTTCGCGGTCGCGAATGCAAATCAAAAAGCCAGTCATCAGCGCTGTATCAGGATATGCTGTCGCTGGAGGATTGGAGCTTTCCCTTCTCGGTGACATTCGAGGCGCCGAAGAGACCGCGGTCTTTGGGGTGTTCTGCCGACGATTCGGCGTCCCCCTCATCGACGGCGGCACCGTTCGCTTGCAAGCCATTGTGGGCCTCGGTCGAGCCCTCGACATGATCCTCACCGGCCGTGGAGTATCCGCGGAAGAAGCGTTGCATATGGGCCTGGCTAATCGGATTGTGCCCAAGGGACAGGCTCTGGCAGAAGCAACAAATATCGCACGACAACTGCTGGTATTCCCACAAGCTTGCATGAACACCGATAGGACGAGCTGTTATTACTCAGCTTATAGTGCTAGTTCATTCGAGGACGCTCTGAGCAACGAGTTCAACCAGGGGATCAAAGTGATCAACACGGAGAGTGTCCGGGGTGCAGCGGAATTTTCCAAGGGAGCGGGAAGACATGGAAGTTTCGAAAAGGTCAAGATTTGAGGCTTTGGCTAGATTACTGGCAGGCCAGAAATGAGCCGGCGAGATTGCCGACATCGGGACCTGTAGACATAAGGGAGTTGGGCCAGGAAGAGATGTCTGGCTGTTTTGGAGTTAGCATAGGGCGCAGAATGTCATATGGATTCCTTGTCAAGGGCGTGTTCGTTTCGTCGACTGGGGCGCTAAACGGCCCACGCATTGAGCGAGGTGAGCAATAGCCATGGAGCTGGAAGTCAAGTATGACTACCATCCATGCAAAATGTCTAAATTGTTCCTGTTTGATTTGTAAGAAAGGTAGAAGAAATAGGCGATGTCGAGATTTCGGATAGTTCCAACACGCCGCTAGGATCATGGCATCTTTGCGGAGTAGTCGGCGTAATCGGCGTAGAGTCAAGCGGGTAGCGAAGTCTTTGCAGACCTGTGTATGCGTGGAAATAGACTAGCGAATCCAATTGTAAGTAGAGTCATACCATCAGTCTTTGAGTTACAGTATTTCTACTTGCTTGGGCAGATGCCATGAATGAACTCATGTACGACTTCACCATTGAGTTTTGATCTACTAGCTTGTTCAGCCCCTTCTACTTCAACATGGTGGCATGAAGCCAAGTTCCCTCCAGTCACCACTCAAAGTCTTCGCATCCCGCTGCCAAGCCTGTTGTTGCTTCATTTCCGAGAGGCAAAGTCGATCATCCGGGTATCATGCGAGCAATGGCGAACGGTATCACGTCTATGGCAAAATTGATTGGCATTCCTACGAGAGAGGACGTCGAAGTTCACATCGATCATCACTACACGTCAAAGATCTACTCTGCGGGATCGCAAGTCAACGGCACTGTCCGGATTAGTACACAGTGAGATATAGCATTCAGCGTCGTCGAAATCAATCTCTTGGGAAAAGCTAATGTTCGGCGGGAAGATGTCCACGTCATGACCGAAACGACACATCTGCTCCTTAAGTTGTACATGCCTGTACCCGAATCAGTTTACTCATCGACGAGGGTTTTCAAACGTGGACAGATCTACTCTATACCCTTCCGATTCATTATCCCCCACCAACTCACAAGCAACGTTTGCCAATACGAAGTCCAAACGGAAGCAGTCCGTAGCCACCACCTCCGCCTGCCATCGTCCTTGACCGGATTCGACAAGGATAATCTTGCTACAAACGTGACAAAGATCCAATACAGCGTAAGGGCCAGGGTTTTCAGCATCAAGGACGGTACTCCTGAAGAGCCACTGGTACCGATCCTCGAGTCTGAGCATCCCATCAGCATCCTCGCACCATCCCCCGAAGACCCGCCTCTCATCATCGACGAGCACGACCTTCACTACGTTTTGAAAGAAACCGCCTCAGTCAGAAAGAATATGTTCTCCATGCCCACAGGCCAAATCACGGCCGAGTCATCCCAGCCACAGGCAATACGTTTGGGTCTGGATGGGCACGCAGCATCGAGCTCGTCGGCCTACATCAACATTGCTTTTCGCCCTGCCGCTCCAGATATGCTTCCGCCGCAGATCAAGATAAAATCAACAAGGGTATTGGCACAGACCTGGGCTTCTCCACGACCTGCGCCGAGCTTTCCCAATGTCGGCGGCAATCCATGTCGAGAGGCAATTACACTATCTACACCTGCCATAGTCGACTCTACGAGGACCACCCCTTGGATTCAGCACGTCCATATTTTGGAGGACGAGGTATCAGAGAGAAAGGCTGGAGGGTCCAGAGGGTCGAGAGACATCACGGTAGTAGGCAACAGTCGCAGCCTGAATGAGAGCGTACCTATCACTCATACCTGTTCAACGCAAGTCGACTTTAAACTTCCGACGTCAAGTCACGTATTTCCTCCAACCTTTCACTCCTGCTTGATCTCGCGGACGTATACTCTCGAGATCAAAATTGCGGCGGGAGGAACTCTCTCCACTGCTGCCTCTTCAGATCTTCATGGACCAAGAAGACGAATACTCTCGGAAGCCTTTAGAGGTGGAGTTGCCTAGCTGGGATGATGTTGGAGGCGAAGCTGTCTATGCACGTATGAGGGAGCATCGTCGAGCGCTGTGAAGAAACCCGTGAATCGGACAAGGTCGACGAGGGGTGCTTTGCGTTTGATGGCACAGTAGTCGTAGCGATTCTGAGGATTCGGAGTTCAGAATCAAGGGACGAAAAGTATGGCGCATTTTGGAAATTTGACAAAACAGAAGGAGGTCTGGTAGCTGCTTCGGGCCACCTACGTAGTTATGAGACGCAGCATTGCGACATGAGAAGCGATCGACTTGTCGAAAGAGCCAAAGATAAAAAATCGTCGATAGGTTTCATTTACATACGCTGTATTAATATCTTGTACACGACTATACCCAGTCCTGTAGTCCGTTCCTATCCTGATACTCCTGAGCCACTCATGATTCGTTACCATTGCGTTTACCTTTTCAATCATACAGTACCTTTCCTACGCTTGAGCTCGATCTTTGCGTCAACGGGCGGGACTACAGTCACGCCAACCCACTGGTGCTTAGGTCTCTCGGCCAGTGGCTTGGCGTCGTAATTGAGGAACAAATTAGCGACTACCATCTTCAGCTCGTGAGCAACGAAGAAGCGGCCGGGGCTACAAGTCGTTAGTTCCATGACAATAGCGGAAACCTAGGAGATATAGTCGCTAGTTACTTACCATGCGTGTCTTCCATGTCCGAAAGGCAGATGAGCATCACTTGTTGTAACCATGCCAAGGTTCTTTAACCTCAGTCCCTCATCCAAGTTGCGTTCTGACTGTGGCTTCGCCTCGTACTCTTCCCTCTTCCTGCTCGTCCGGAACGCATCGTACTCGCTCGCGTTGGCGTTCAGTTCATCGTCATGGTGAAGACCTTCGAGATTCACGGTGAGGAACGTGCCTCTTGGCAGATGCCACCCCTCCTGCTCGTTGGTGATACCCTCCTTGGCAATAACCTTGCGCTCCATCAGAGTACAGCTGAAGTTGCTGAGCCTCTGGCTCTCGCGAATTGCGCTGTCGAGGCGATACAGCCGTGAAAGTCCGTTCTTTGTCCAGCGGCCGCCCTCCTCGCGAAGAACGCGCTCTGCCTCTTCCCGGATGCCTTCGATATAGCCCTTCGCCGGGTCAGAGCTCAACAAGTCCAGGACTATGCTGTGACCGGTAATAACGGTCGTGTGGATGGCGGCGAATTGGATCGGCAGAAGTCGCTTCGAGATCACGTAGGGATCGAGTTCGAAGAACTTCCTCTCGGATTTGGCCATGCGGATATCCCAGGTGATAAAGTCTTCGGGCGCAACCCAGCTCTCATACGCCGGATCGCCCGCCTCTTTCTTTGCCATGTCGTCGAGTCGTTTCCTGATCACCGGCAAGCTGTGCTTGGAGGCTTTGCGCCATAGCCACCAGTTGGGTAATGCGATCAAAGGTCCGAGGATGGGCAGGATGGTCTGGGGAACCATGTGCAGCGCAAAGCAGTTTAGAATGACCTGGTCGACAAAAGAAACCATGGCCTTGCAGAACTCTTTGGTGCGACACACGCCCTCTCCCACGAGCATTCGATTCGTGACGGGCGGCACAATCGTCAACCAGGCGTCCCAGAGGTTCAGGGTCTTCCAATCCTGGGTATCCGTGCCAAAGGCCTCGTCCATGGCGACGGATACCTCTTCTGCAATCGCGGGGATCAAGGTGCTGAGGTGGCGCGCCAGGCTCTTGTGGATTACCAGAGTATGCCACACATCGTCGGCGTACACCTTTCCAAGAAAATTATAATCGCTGTAGAGGACGTCGTTATGCGCTTCGTGAGCGGATACCACCGAGTCCGGGTATTCGAGGAGCCATTTCGTAAGGGATTGTGGGAGGATGATGTCGGGTGCTCGGCTTGCGGCAGCGGGGACCACGAATGCGCGGTTCTGCTTGTTGTACTATATTGTCGCATACCGAATCAGTGTCTGTTCTGGCCTTGCCAAGTTCCCACGGCGGGGGACAATAACATACCTTCTTGTAGCCCTCAATGACCCAGTCTCGGTAGCGAAACATGTAGTAGTAGAAGTTCTTGAAGCGTGCCACGGTGCCCTTCCCATAGCCCACGACGGGGATGTTCTCTGGGTATGTGGGCTTCCACGTGTGATCGAGGATGAGCAGACCAACAAAGACGAGGAAAAGAGAGCCGAAGACGCGCCCGGGCGTCAGCGACTCAGTAATTTGGGCGTGAAGACTGCCCGCCATGATCACGTAGTGTACAGTAGAGCTATCGTTTTCTGGACATCGTCGTCTCTGAACTTCAGAGAAAGAAATGTGAGATCAACACAGAGTACAGGAGTGAGACGGAGTTGTGTAAGTGGAACTCCGGACCTTAGCAACAGACCGCTCAGGAGTCGACTATTGGTAATGCTGGTTTGGGCTTCAGGTCATGACGCGCTGGCTGCATTGGCGGCTAGGCTAGAGCCTGTCATTCGAACGGGACTTTAAGCTGCCGGCATGCCACAACAGCTCTACTGTAATCAGGTAGTAACATTCGTTTTCAGCTGCTTTCAATAGTCCCCAACAACATCCACCCCACCATTTGCTCCCCACAAGAGCTCTTGATTGGAACTTTGGGAGCACGCCTGTCGGATCCTGCATGCTTAAGCGAGGCACGCTGTGACCTGTTTCAGGTACGTGCCGTCTCATCTTTGCTCTCGGCCGCGAGGTGTCCTAACATAATTCCACCGAATTCACAGGCAAGGCCTGTTAGTGCAGGCTCATGGAGGGATGAGAGGGCATATGCAGGGTATTGCTTCCTCTTGTCTCGAACCTTGGTCAGAATGGCTAGGTATATCGGGGTGGTCTCCGCCGTCGCACTCGTATTGGTTGTGTTGTTCAAGGGCAAAGGAGAGGAAAAGACATGAAGTCATCCTTCACACAAACCGAGAAGTGGTAAATATCGAACGACAACGAGTTTATTGAGCTTAATGTCTGCCTCCCGTGCAACAGAGGGCGATTATTGGTGTAGTTGTGGGAATTTGGGTTGGGAACTTCCAGCCCTCCATGGATCTCCCATGAGCCGTGAAGGCCTTCTTCATGTCTGCACGGTTATCAACTCAACGAAAGCTTGCCCACCCTTCCGGCTGACCCGGACGCCCAGCAGACTCGGCCGTAGACACACTCGACTGCGTCAAACGAGCCTCTGTCAAATGTAACCCAAGTCGTCCCACCATCAAGCGTGATATCGGATCCGGATGGTCCAACAGCGACAGCCACCCCACACAGCCCCGGGGCCCATGACGAGCCCGATCGGTATCCGCCCGGAAACACCTCCGATGCTGTCCAGGTCTCTCCGCCATTCTCGGACCATGCTGATGTGTGGAGGGAACCATTAGCCACGTTGAAGTCGCCTCCGGTTGCAATGCCGTTGTGCGCGTCTTTGAATCGTACCGAGAACACCCCGGCCGAGGCACCACCCGCAATCGCACTGCCCGAGACATCCCACTGGTACCCATCTGAGCTCCGGAAGACTCTGCCGGGATCGATGCCACCCGATGCGAGATACCATCGGCCCGCTGCGGTAGAGATGCAAGTTCCGCTGGCCGCGAATCCGAATTCTCCCCCCAAAGCAGGGGACATCCCGCTGGGGTCCATGGTAGTCCAAGAATTACCCCCATCAAGCGTTTCAATCAAACGAAATTTGCCATCGACTGGGTCGCTCACGGCGATACCCCTCTCATCGTCCTCGAAATCGACGCAGTTGAAGAATGCGGATGCCTCCTCATTAGCGAAAGTCTGCATCCAAGATTCCCCGCCATTGGCCGTGATGTAAACGCGCGAATCCGCTCCTTCGCCAATAGACAGGATGACAGCCTTTTCGGCCGAGAACGACTGCACGTCGCGGAACTGCAGGTCAGCGTCTTCGGTTGACAATTTGGGGCCAACTGATTGCCACGAAGCACCGCCATCGGTGGTGCGAAGAACCGTCCCTCCTGTGCCGGATACCCAGGCTATTTGGTCCGACACTGGCGACAATCCGCGGAATTGCTGTTGGCTGTTGGTCGGTAGAATCTCCCATGTCAAGGTCAAGTTCAAGTTCCGCTCGTGGACACCACTCCTCGCTGCTAGAGGAGAGGCGGTGGCGACCAGAGTCAAGACCAATGCAAAAAGGCGCCTCATCGTGCCGGTTGTTCGTACTGATTGGTTCGATACAGATGAGAAGAAATGGTCGGTCAAGAGAACTTTGTCCGTAGCTAAGGTATTACTTGTAGGTAAGGCGGGGTTCGTGTTGGTTTGTGGTACACCAGCCTCCTCATTTCGTGTTGATAACCATTTCAACATCCTTCTTGCAGATCATTGAGGACCTTCCGATTCGGGCCACTTTGTTTGGCGATGTTTCCTTCGTCCGGCCCCACTCACCAATCCCATGGTCCTGGGATCCCAGATCGATCATCCTGGAAACACGATCGCTTGCTCGACTTCACGATGCACCGCTCACGACGGCTTTCATGAAACACTTAAGATTGGTAGTATCTTGCTACTATCTTCAGACATTCACCTCATCTTTGTACCATTGCTGTGCAGCTCCAGTGCATCTTGAACAAGACGTTTCTCACTCCAGAAATATGTAGGTACTGAAGTAATGCATGCAATCTGGGCCTCGTCGACATTCAACCACCATGCTAGTCGCCCTCCGAGTGGTATTTACACGTAACGTTACCACGTACCAACTCGATTTAACTCTCTGACAACTCTGCGAGGCATTTGTCTGTCATCGTCGCTGATCGCTCACTTGCCCCCGGTAGTGAACTCGCCGTTCGCAGTAGCGTCAGACATCTCCTCGTCGGCGCTGAAGTAGGCGTCTAGGTCACTTCGTTTCTCCAATAAGAGGTCAATCACCATGCGACCAAAGACGATTTCGCCAGCTTCACCCAAGTGGGTTCTATCGGTGCTCGCCAGGTTGTAATACTGGGCGCTATCCTCTCCAATGGCATTGACGTAGTCGGTGCTCTCCAGGTTGAGGTCAAGCCACTTAATGCTGCTGGTCTTTGCTGCTGCGATCGTCTTGCCCCTCCATTCAGCAAGGTCTTGGACCACTTCACCATCTTCGAAGCGACGGCGAGTGAGAGACGTGACGAATATCTGGGTAGGATTAGTTATCAATCTCAATGTCCTGCGCAAGAAGTGAAAACTCACCGGAGTCGCCCCAGCCTCCTTGAGTTCGGCAGCAATGGCAACCAGATTGCCCGAAACTCATCCAAGGTAAGACTCTTTTGGTCATTGTGACCAAACTGAACAGTTACAATGGGCTCGTAATCGGCCTTTGTATCATTGATGCCCTGCAAAAGCGAAGCCCAGCGGCCGTTCGACTTCCAAGAGACGGTCGTAGAGCCACTCTTCCCCCTGTTCTCGCCTTTTGCGGGGTCTTTGGGGTAGGACAGGAAACCGTCACTCCAGCCGCCGTTGACCGCGACAGTGGAGTCGCCGATGAGGAAGAAATAGGGAGATTTCTTGGCTCGAGCTACGGGCGATCCCGTGGTCATCGCCGCCGCCAACGCGATCAGTGATGTAAAGATAGTAGATCTCATGATGCTAAGCTTGCAGAGTAGAAAGCTGGTTGATGGCGAATTTATCGCAGTCTTGTTGGGGCTATCTGAGTGTACTTTTCCTTTCAAGCCTGAAGAGTTCTGAGATTCCAAGGTTTCGTGAATCTGGATCTAGACGCTTTATAGCCTTGCGAGCCTCTCAACTCACTGCTCTTGAGCATCGGAAGTCATCATCATGGAAGTCTCATATGACTTTCCCAGACTGCGTGACGGCTGAATCCACCAGTTGAAACTCAGCCATTCGGCCGAGAAGACAAGTCGAGCTGAACTTCCGCCATCTCATCTGCACCTTCGCACATAAACGCGGGGCCCCGCGCTGCAGTTGCCGGCATAAATGATATTTTCGGAGCAAAGGAAGCTTCTGAGGCACGAGTCGACCTCCCTTAAAGCCCATCGAGATGTCAATGTAGACACTCTCTAGCAGCATTTGTTGGAAAATGGAGTCTCCCGGGCTTTGAATGTGACACCCGCACAATCATTGCCCCGAAGTGTCATATGCACACTCAGATACATCCCTGAGGATGTGGTCGTCGGGCTAATGCGGGTCGCTCCGTTCAACCCAACCATGTTCTTGGCCACCGAGAGTGGGTGTTTTCAGGTGAACCGTAGTGATCGTCCTCTATGCATCCAGATCAGACGAATTGACGGGGCAAGTCCGTCGGATTCCAGGACAAGCACCCGAAAATGAATTCCACATTCCAGATGAGAGGCTCGATTCGTGGATCCCGGCCATGACGAGATTCCCTGCCTGGAAGAATGTTTCCCAATAAGGTCGTGTGGATGACCTCGTATTCTAGTACACGTACCTCAGGAAGATGAGATAGAAATTGAGGTGTGGTACGTGGCCTGAGTTGTTGATTTGAAGTGCTAAGACGGTAACGGGTGTTTCTGCTTTGCCCTGCTTCGAGGCAATAAGGTCAACTATACAACTACTTCTGGTGGATCATCTTCACTATTGGAAATAAAACAGTGACACTGTGTCACGAAATAGGAATAGCATTAGCACTCTGTAATCAGTCCATCAAGTGCGTTATCACGTGATTCTCTCATTTGTGTTACGAGCAGGACAAGGCAACCAACTGTGGCACAAAGCAAAAGCTTCGATAATGATGACTCCGCATCATTTTCCCTTGTTCTGCATTATATAGCTACGCGCCCACAGTGACAAGTTGCGGCGGGCGTAACATAAAGTAGGTGAAAAAGAGGTTATTACGGTTGAATCCAGCAAGTCTGATTGCCCTAGTGAAGCTGGCAGCTATATTGTAGTGTGTGAGGTTGAGGATCAATAGTTAATAGTAATGAGGAGGTTGGGTTTTGATCCCATCGTTTTTATGGTGCCAGAAACAGGGGGGGGCCAGGAAGTGGGTATGTTGACTTAAGTCAGGACTTCAATTACGTCGGGTAGAGATCACGAAAGCTCACTCAAGATTGAAGATGTGGATTGTGGAGCTTGATCCGTACGTTACCTACAATACGGAATCAACAATTCCCAAATAAATCTATCTTACAATTCATACCTGAACTCCTTGTTCTCAAGATCTGTCAAGTCCCAGAACTCGTGGTTCTCCTCCGCCATATACGCATCTCCCAAAGCGGCCTTCTCGGCATCACGCTTCTTGTTTCTTCTTTCCAGCACCCAGCGCATCAAGAACAAATCAACGGTGACCAAGAAATAAATGGCGCAAATCGATATCTTAGCGGGGAGGTATCTCGGTGCATCACGGGCCTGGAAGGTCTGAGGAGAAACGATGTTACCGATCGTGTATGCGATGGTGCCAGTGCATGCGACGGTGACTTTCTTGGTGGAATCTGCGACATTGGTACTCTGGAGCCCCAGAATAGTCGTCCATCCGATCGGAATACCTCCTGAAGTGTAGTATCCGATCAAGGCGGGAACTTTCGAAGTCGTCGCCATGAGAATGGCACCGATAATGGCAGGGATGTGGCCGGCAATGCACCAGTAAAGCCGTTGTCTCGTCTTCATTGCCAGCCAAGTCAGGCCGATCAATGCTACGATCTCGTAGGCACCGAGAGGGGTGACGAGGAGAAGAGACTCCTCGCTCGTGTATCCCATACCTCGCACCAAGATATTCCCAAAGCTGGTCGCAATGGAGTTGGGGATATTGGCCGCGAAGATCCAGAAGGCGTACAGCCAGGTCGTGACGTCAAGAAATGCCTCTTTCACATGTTTCCATTTGAACTCCTGTGAACCAATGCCTTGCTCGTTATCTCGAATTCGCTCAAGATGTGTTGCCTTCTCTTCTTGAGACAGAAACTTTGTAGTTGCCGGCGAGTCAGGCATGATGAAGAAGAACGCGATGCCAACAAGTGCGGTCAGCAGGCCGATGAACAAGAAGATCACTTGCCAGCCCCTCAAGGCCGCACTTGGATCCTTTCCGACATGCGTTGCAACGCCATATGCAAAAAAGCCACCAAACATCTGAGCTGCACCACAGACAGAGAACCAGATTCCAACGCGGAATGCCTGCTCCTGCTTTGTGTACCACTGCGAGGTGAAGAGAACCCAAGCAGGCACTACAGCGGCTTCAAACGCTCCTAAGAGGAATCGGCAGACAAGGAGACCAGCGTAATTCTTGCAGGCCGCGAGACAAGCTAGAACGACACCCCAGAGGATGATGTTGATGGAGGTGTACTTGGCTAGGGGGAACATCTGAATGAGTCGGATAGTTGGGAACTCAAAAGCGAGCTGACCGAAGAAAAAGATGGAGGCAACCCAGTTGAATTGGTTTCCGTGAAGTCCGGTTGATTGCTGGATGCCTGTGACGCTAGCGTAGGAGATGGCCGTCTTGTCGATGTATTGCAAGAAATACACGATACAGATCAACGGCATGATGTGGGTATCAATACGGCGCTTGAGTCTTCGATTGAGCTCTGGATCAACAGTGCGACCTAATGGCCCTGTCTCGTTGAGAAGGTCGAGGGCAGCATCGGCGCCGGTCTTCGGTAGGCTCTTCGTAGTTTGCGCCGGGTGGACCACCCCTGTCGGGGCCGGGATGGACGCATTCGATGCGGAGCGTTCGTCCGAGTCGGAGACAGCACCCGTGGCAGGCGGCTCTGTGACTACTTTGACGTCATAGTCAGCCATGATCTCACTTGTTGGGATACAAGATGACAAGGCGAAGTATCCGTATGTCGACTCGCAATTGGCGGCGAGACAGGATCGAAGCGACAGAGAATACCAGTTCTGACAACAGCAAAGTAAGGCTGCATGGGCAGGTTCTTGCTCTTATCACTTGCATACTTATGCATTACCACGGCAGCGTTCTTGAGCACATCATCGGCGACGTCTAGCTACTCATGGCTGGGCAAATCCATACGCAAGGTGTGAATACTGAAACTCTTCGCCGACGACATCCACACAATCCCGATAAGAGACGAAGCATCCACCATAAACCAACGTATCAAGTCAATTTTCGGACGACTTCTGATCCTTCGTGTTACTCTCATGAGCACGTCATCGTCAAGCCGATGGTGCAAGACTTCAATTGTTGCCTGTTGTAGGTTGAATGCCCCACTTGCTCGGCTCACCACCACAATGGTTCGGTTCAGTGCCCAGGTCGCGGCCAACCTGAGCTGTAAACTGTCGGCTTAAGTCGGTTCTAGAAGGTAAAAGAGCGATAGAAACACGATGGATGGTTTTTAGAGAGCTAATATCTTAGTCTACCCTTATCTGAGCACCTGTGTTCTCTGGATTCCGCCGCAATGATTTGGCTAAGCCTTTAAGGCCCTGGCAGTGCACATGTAGGCAAGATGGGCTTGCATGAACCCCTTACCACATGGTAGGGTCCGCGAGGTGACGTCAATACACCTAACGGGGTTGCGTATAGAACGCGTAGCCGTCTCACGAGGAATATCTTGACTCGGATCCTATGAGGCCGAGAAACTTTGATCTCCGTTATCTCAGCTCTGTAATTCCTCCTCCCGTTGCTTACATGTAGAATGAAAGAGTTCCTATTGATCAACGTCTGTGCCACGAGATTGACGAGAGTTTCTAAATGTTTCTCAAGGGTACAAGTCATCATTTTGGATAGAATAAAAGTCATTTTCATGTCTTTAGAACTTTTCGTCCGGATCATTTTCATAAAATCACGGTTCGTGCATCGTAAGCGGTGGGAGACGATGAGCCAAGAAAATATCCATGACCTGGTAGGCTGAGCCGAACTTGGGTCACATATGGCTCTCATTCTAGGAAAGCTCTGATTGAGCCTGGTAGTGTACCCAACCACAGGTGTCTCGCACCTCCAGTGTGTTACGCATATGGGCCTTACCCGGGCACGTACCTGATGTGGACAAGAGTGGTAGACAGTATAACTGTTTACCAATGTATTTGCCTGCATGCAGCCTTTAAGCTACATGTTTACCAATGGAAGCATGAACAATCACGTCTGGTGGCATTAGCCCTTACCTTACCACGCATTGTTAACATTTCCAAGGAGCCGCGGCGAACATGCCCCGTTGGTAACATGAATTATTCCTCGTACAGCTCAATCCTGACTAATTAGGTATTAACGGTGGTGCCGAAATCCGTCAGCCTTTTAGACGGCGTTATCGGGCTCAATTTCGAAGTTTCCGGACTATCCCCGTTCACAGAAATTGTCATGTTAGCACCTGGGTAAGAACGTCTTGTGACCATCGAGCGACATTCCGCGCCTTTCACACCAGACCCGCAAGGATTCAAATATTTAATATAGCGTAACGCAGGATGTACTGGAAAGTCTTGCCGATATTCCGCAACTTAATCGCGTCCGGCCCCGAACGCGCCTTAGACACGCCCTAGATCGACGCAGGGCTCCGGCGATTGCGGGGGTCGAGTGGTCGATATTCGCCGAAACTTCGGGAGATTCTCCGCTTTCGGGGGGTGTGGCTCGGTATCCGGTTGGCCGGGCCGTTATCTGATGCCCCAAGCCGATGCGGGGAAGCGTCATCCGGAATCTGTTGACAGCTTGTCCCTGCTCCTAATGCTCACTGGAGCGACTCGATCGTAGTGCGAAGAACTCGAGTATTTATATGAACAACACCTCCTACCCTGACGCCTGAAGACAACAAGTCAAGCCGCCATGTCGCCAAACACATTCGATATCTCTTGCCTTTGCGGCGCTGTCTCGCAGCGAGTTCTACCTCTGGTTGCTCACGGAGAGGCTGTGGAGTTGTCCATCAACCACGGCGACGTTGATCGACATGCCACGGGTACTCTCTGCGCCTCATACTATCCCATTCGGGAACCTCACCAGCTGCTGGGAACGGCAGAGTATCATGGCCTTGACGGGTGGGCAAGATACTTTTGCAACACCTGCGGATGCCATGTCTTGAGACGCAGAGATATAGATGGGGTATCTGTATGGGAAGCGGCGACTGGCGTTCTACTGAATAGCACTGGTGAAGATATTGACGCGGACGCGCGTTACGCAAGACATACCGGCGTTTCCGACACCAAAGACGGCGGTATTTCGGTGTGGCTGCCCGAGATTGAAGGACGGCGGTTGGATTCACCCACAAACCCAGTCATGGTGGAATCAAGAACTACGACGAAGCTTCCTCCTATGCCACTTATCTGTCCGAAAGACACTCTGCCTGCCTCATGCGACTGCGGTACGGTGAGCTTTCACATCATACGGCCAACCGAACAAAGCTATCTACCGCACTCCGGCTTCCCCGATCTGCAGTATGCTGCCGTCGAGCACTCACACGAGTTCATGAAGAACTCTGACAGCCTCAAATGGTGGATTCGAAGTAACGGCGCCAAATACTTGGCTGGCAACTGTGCCTGTCGGTCTTACCGTCTCATCTCCGGATTCGAGATCCAAACCTGGGCATTCGTCCCCCGATGCAATATCTTCTTCCACGTTCCCGGACCAGACGACGGGCATTCCGTTATCTTACCCCTCAACTTTTCGGACTTACCGGCTGGAATCGCGAAAACGTATGAATCTTCACCTGGCGTCTTTCGCGAATTCTGTGCCAAATGCGGCGCGACGGCATTCTGGCGCGACAGTTGGCGACCAGACGTCATCGAAGTCAGCGTAGGGCTGCTTCGGGCAGAAGAGGGCGCGCGGGCCGAGACGTGGCTGGACTGGTGGACAGAGCGATGTAGTTTCGAAGAAGAGACGGAAAGGGGTCGATCAGGAGAGCCCGCCCGCATTGCTAGGAGGCTCATTGATGGCCTAGAACGAGGCTTGCGCTCAGGGGCCCAGTCAAACAGATGCAGCTTGGAACCACGGCAGATAGCTAGAGGTTATTCAATCAGAAACAAATCGTTCACCGTGACGCTCGTTGTAGGTCGCTAGCAGGCCTATAATAGGCAATTTGAAGAGTCACGTTCTTCTTGGCGAGCAAGACAAGAAATCATTCTTGCTGCGGAGTATAGAAAGATGGATCAATCCGGTAATCTGGAATCTGGATTCCGTTTTGTTACCCCTGAGATTAGCCAAGGATACCCGAGTCATCCCATGTCCGTTCCAAGTTGAACATTGATTGAACTGCTATTCAATTCGGATGAAACAGGCAGGTTTCTATAACGATCTAGAGAACGTGGAAACAGTGCCTGATAACTTATTAAGCATTGTTTAAGCGGCTGTTTCGGCCCGCTTCCCAGTGTAATAAACTTGGCGAATGACTCGGGGGTCACCTTTCGGACCTGCCAAGCGCGCCGGGCCGGGCGGGGCCCCCTTGACGGACGGACACGGACTCTGTAAAGGTCGGGGCCGCGGCGCCGGGTCATGTGGAGGGACTCGTGGGGTGTTGCCGGTATTCTGGATTCATGGGCACGGGTATGATGGGATACCGGACAGGCTCATACTTGCCGAGTTCTCCAGGTCGTAAAGCTGAGCTCACCGTTGTCTGACCGAGCTGTTAGTCTACTTGGCATGCTTATGTGCTTCTGGTGACAGCAACTCGGATCATTGCCAAACCCCGCAATCCTTTAGGTGCTGACAGCTTACTGCTGCGCCTCGGGGTAAAGGTAGCATGGGAGAAACTCTCACTTGGAGGTCCTCCTGTGACCGTTGCGCAGAGAATGTCTGCCCGTATCTTCACAAGTGGTCTAGTCTGTCGATGCACAGCATTGTTCGCGATGAGTCCACAACGAGCATCGCGCCACTTTTCACTGGCACACGACGGGATACCGACCGGACCAAGGAGCGCTGACGAACCGAGCCTCCTTTATTGGCAGCTGAAAATAGAAGAGTCCATCACCCGCTTATGCAGTGTGATGGATTTGGGTCCTCAAGCTTGGCATGCACAGCTCAACCTAGTCCGCGTCGCGTAGTTGGCTTGAATGGCGACATAAGGTCGACGACATGTCTGGTTGCTTTGAATGTCTTGATGTTGTAAGTTATTTTCATCTTTGTGTGTATTGACGTGCAGTCACAGAGGAATATGAGCATCTGCTTTGCGAGCGTTGCAACGCGATGTTCAGAGAAAGCGGCAATTTTCTTGGCTGCTGACACTGAGATGCAAGCAAAGTGAATGCTGATATGATATTGCTCGGCATAGGACACAAATGTTCACGACATGAGCATCCAGCGTTGTGCTGTCGGATGTAAAAATGTCCGTGGCGGAGTTTGGCTCAACAAATGAATGCCATTTGACACAAGCCGACCGAATGGTAAAACACCGAGACGGACATAGGTTCCTAAAAGAAAATTGGTCAACTGAGTTAAGCTTACAAACATTATTGAAGTATCACTCGTGACTATGAGATCATGTTGCATGAACTCGGCATTGAGTTAGTTGGATGTCAAAAAGTAATTGCTTGAATGCTTTCCAAATGATTCACGCTGACCCCTCAAAGTTGGCTCGTCGCCGAACACGAATACTCAGCAGTAGCTTGTAAGTCCGATGAAATTTGGATTGACAGTCCGGGTTTGTGAGCTGGGAAACTTTTGACTTTGCATGCAACTCCAAGGGAAACGGGCAGAATTGATCACATGAACCACGGGTTGCATTCACCTGGCCTTCCCAAACGGATATGTCGTCCGCCTCGGCATCCCAGAACAAAGTCAATTGAAGATAATGGTAAGTTGGACGGAGAGACAAGCGTGTCTAGTGTCAGTGTGATCCTTGCCGGCTTTGACCGGTGCCCTATAGAAAGGAGGCAGTTTATAATCAAAAAGGGTGCAGCCGAGTTGATCAAGGTTTCCGGAAAGGTATACTTTTGGTATAGTGGGAGGGGGTAAAACGATATGAATCATCATTGGTAAGTTTGCGCGCGTGAAAGGGTGTGAGATGAACCCCGAAAAACAAATCTCCCTCCCCCTATGTCGTGTAGTGTTCCCGAGATGATATCACAAAGGTAAACTTTCCGTGCCCCCTCAACACTGCAACCTTCGTATAGGTAACTGTTGCTTGTCGCGCACGTGTTGGTGTGGACTAGACTGCGGAGGAAAAGATTATAGCAGGCCACGGACACCGCGGACGCATACAGCAGACGAAAGAGGGTAATGTTTCCGGCAACTAAGTGCGCAGTGCCCAGCCAATGTGGTTCGACACATTCCTAGTCCAGGCTCATGACCCGTCGGCAAGTGGGTGTCGGCCGAGTACCATCAAACTACCATGTCCGCAAGCAACAACAGCCTACAGGGATAAACGTGATTCAGAGAGTTGGACGCTACGGTAGTTGACAGGGCGGCAATCTCATTCCCATCTCAGCCACTCCCAGCGTCAGATTTACCTCCGCTGTCACCGTGCTCCCAAATGCCCCAGCAAACTCCCAAGGCCTCCCGGGTTCGCAGTTTCCAGCCCAGCGTCCAAGGGAACAGTGTTGCGTGTCCAAGGCCCAAGGGGACTCTGCATGTGATGGGAAGCCACCTCGCCAAGCATCTTGGCAGCACAGGTGGACGGAGTGACTGATGTGGCTATACTCAGGGACAATCCTTTGGCTCGGGCACAGCCGGGGTCGCAGGATCTCGGCCGACAGCTCGCCTACTGTGAGGTGCATGCACGAACACTCGTACCTCAAATCTAGCCTTCCTATTCAGGATGGTGGTGCTGGCTGGGTTGGCCCGGCCTGTGGTTTCTTCCGTGCTTGCAGCTGGCGTGCTGATCTGCCACGCTGCCTGGCTGCGTGGCTGCATCCCATCCCGCCCGCATTTCCGTGTGGGTGGTGTCACCTTGGTGTGCCGTGTGTACGTCTGTGGACTGCGGTTCCGAGTGTTGGTGTGCCGTGCGTTCCAGTCGAGGCCGTTGAAGGCCGCCATCAACGGCCGGCCGGCGCGCGGGGATGGATCGTCGAGGACTGGGGGGGGGGGGGGGGGGGTCGTCTAGGAAGGGGGAAGCGTTCGGGTTCCAGATCTCCCATCCAGAGGCTTGCTTTTGCTTCTTCCACACCCAAAGATTTGCCCGCCGCCGGCGAGAGGTAGGGCTGAGTCAATGCACGATTGATGAAAAGCTTCCTTCATCCCATGTTGGGTGGTCACGATTTGGGCCAAAACCTTGTGCGACTCTTAGATTCTAGGCTTGTAGTTGCAGGTTGTCTGTAGCCGGGTTGCCTAGTCTCCCACCCGGCATAGCTTTGCCAGGGTTCTCGAGGCTCTCTGGGAGTTTCGCTAGGGGAAAAAGTCCTGAGCCCACACAAGCAAGAAGGATGACGGAGGCATCAATTAGCCCGTTGCGCGCGGGCAGCTCCGTAGTGCTAAGTGTATGTGCAGTGCTAACTTCTAAATGGCGTTTACAGACAGGGTACAGCAGGATAGCAGGGAGAGGGCGGGTTGATATGATCCGATTTGTTACTCTTCGGAGTTTAGGGGGCGAAGTCTATTAGATTCAAAAGTGGCTCCCGCAGCTTGAAAACTGTCATCGCACAATTGGTCGCGGTTGGTGTGAATAATTGCAGGCTTTACAGAAATACTACCTTACTCTTCCAGTCACCCAGTAACTTGGCACCGGCCCGCATCCAACCGTTGACTTTTGACCATCAGAGCAGGGAGCACAGCTCGTCAGCTCCCCGGATTCCCTAGCTTATGCCTGGTTATGGATCAACATCTGAGCTCATGATCCTGGCTACACGAGCCCGATCCTGGTGTTTCCCCCCCTGGGGCCCATGTATTCTTCATACAAGCTGCCGTAGGTTTCACCCATATGGACATCGCTTAGGATACAATCCCCGCCCAAAAGTGTGAAAAGCGGACCAGACCACACCCAAGAGCCATCTGCCAATCTGCGTATGTTCACGCCCATCCTAATCAAACAAGATTGTTATTCCAGGCGCTTATTCTGGATCGTAAACCTTGCCATGGGGCATCTTAGTGCACAATACCGGCTCGACTGCCGTTGTAGGAAGCTTATTACCAAGGCCCCAGTCAGCGATGCCTTGCGCCTTGGTAGCGGCCTTCGCAGGTCTTGGAATTATTACTAATCATGGAGTTCTGGAATCAAAATATTCCCACATGGAGATGCTCCATCGTGGCTCGTGGTACCTGCTCAGTAGCCGTGTCATTGCTCGTGAGTCGTAGGTCGCCACAGTTTATTACTTATGTCCTGGGGTTCGTCCCATCTTCGAATAAGAATCCGTTTCCTCTTCTCCAGGAATATACTCATCTTTCACCCGTTGAGTCTGCTACCCCCGGTCTCACCTAGTCATTCCTTCTTTGAACTTCCTCTGGATCAACTTGTCTGTCAACATGCACGCCAAACTGCCAAGCTGCCTTTTGGCAGCTTCTGCTCTCTTGCCCGCCGTCGCGGCTGAGGGCTGCCCTTTCGCCAAACGAGATGGTTCCGTCACCAGCGAGCTCCCCAAGAGAGACACAGCCGAGGGTTTTGGCCGGTGCTCGAGAATCAGCAACCAGGCCGGCGGCGGCACCCGCAGCCACGACTGGTGGCCTTGCCAGCTTAGACTCGATACTCTTCGCCAATTCCAGCCCGCGACCAACCCGTACGGCGGCGATTTCGACTACACTGCGGCTTTCAACTCTTTGGATTGTGAGTACACCCGATGGGCTCCGATGGGGAGCAGGCAAAGGACTGAGGAAACAATGCGTGTGAAGGACCCTCACTAACACCCCACGTCAGATGAGGCTCTCAAGAAGGACCTCCACGCCCTGATGACCGAATCCCAGGATTGGTGGCCGGCCGACTTTGGCCACTACGGCGGTCTCTTCATCCGCATGGCCTGGCATAGCGCCGGCACTTATCGCGCCATTGACGGCCGAGGTGGCGGTGGAATGGTGAGCCGTTTTTTTCTTCACTACATTTCTTGGCTTATGTTTTACTCTCTTCTCTTTGGCTGTGGTATCCCCAAAAGTCCTTCCCTCCTCTCCCCCCGGTCTTCCTGGCGCTGTTCCACTTGGCACTGGAAACTACGCGTTGCAACCCCCCAATCCCTTTTAGCATATTTCTTATTCCTTGCCCGTCGTTGCACTTGATCATCTCTTCGCGGTCCTATTCGTCTCGCGTGGGAAGATCAATTGGCTAGACGGAGGTTTTTGTCCTATCCCACAAGAAAGCCAAGAGGTGCTAAAGCATCTCCCTCAATCCTTTCTCCACCCGCACCGCGTCACGAAATATGGACCTGGGCTGTTTGCATCTTATCACATCTCTGCATCACTTTAATTCTTCTCGAGGACTGGCGTTTACTAATATTGGACTCCTGCAGGGCCAACAACGTTTCGCTCCGCTTAACAGCTGGCCTGATAACCAGAACCTCGACAAGGCTCGCCGCCTGTTGTGTAAGATTTCCCGTCTTTATGCGCTCTTTTGCGATGTGGCCCCCCCATGTTCGACTTGCATCATCGACTCGGTAGCAATATCCACTCTGCCGTGGCTCGATGGCGCGAGTAGAGCGATGTTGTGGGCCCCTCCTGAGAGATAGAGAGAAGAAACGTTTACTGATCCTCTTCCATGTTCACAGGGCCTATCAAGCAAAAGTACGGCAACAAGATCTCATGGGCTGACTTGTACCTCCTCACTGGCAACGTCGCCCTCGAGTCCATGGGCTTCGCTCCCATTGGCTTCGCTGCTGGCCGTCCCGACACCTGGCAATCCGATGAGTCCGTCTACTGGGGTGGAGAGACGACCTTCGTCCCCAAGGGCAACGATGTCCGCTACAACGGCAGCACCGACATCAACGAGCGCGCCGACAAGCTCGAGAAGCCCCTGGGTGCCACCCACATGGGCCTGATCTACGTCAACCCGGAGGGCCCCGATGCCAGCTCCGATCCCGCCGCCTCGGCCAAGGACATCCGCGTCGCTTTCGATCGCATGGGAATGAACGATGAGGAGACTGTCTCCCTGATCGCCGGTGGACACGCCTTCGGCAAGACGCACGGTGCCGTGCCTAAAAGTGAGTTTGCACAACATTCACGCCCCCCATCTTCACCTTTCTCCGGTTGAAGTCGGACTTCCGGGCGAGAATTGAGCGTCTCCGGGGAGAGCTCCGATTCACCCCCGGAAACACGATTTTCATCGCTACATGTACTTTTGGAACATGCAGAAGCTAACCCGCGGCTCTCATAGGCAACATTGGAGGCGAGCCCGAGGCCGCTGACCTTGGCGAGATGGGTCTCGGATGGCACAACAGCGTTGGCGATGGCAACGGCGTCAACCAAATGACCAGTGGTCTCGAGGTTGTTTGGACCAAGACCCCTACCAAGTAAGTGATTATTGTGATGAGTCTATTTCCGCGTGCATTCGCCCCCCTGTTCTTGGCACTACAGTCATCTTTCTTCCCCCTCTTCTCGCTCTTGAGGCCTTTTTTCTCTCATATGCCAAGTCTTCGACTATGAGAGAAGGTCATAAGAGAAATGTTGAGGCGACAAACGACAACACCAAGAAAAGCTATTTATACATCAACCACGCCGGGTGATTATGCAGTGATACACCGACACTAATCCTTGTACCTGCAGATGGAGCAACGACTACTTGGAGTCTCTCATTCACAACAAATGGACCCTCGTCACCAGCCCTGCCGGCGCTCACCAATGGGAGGCTGTCAACGGCACCCTCGACTACCCCGACCCCTTTGACACCACCAAGTTCCGCAAGGCCACCATGCTTACCAGTGACTTGGCTCTCATCAACGACCCGTCCTACCTCAACATCACCACCCGCTGGCTCGACCACCCGCAGGAGCTCGCTGACGCCTTCGCCAAGGCTTGGTTCAAGCTTCTCCACCGTGACCTGGGTCCCGTTGCCCGCTACCTCGGTCCCGAGATCCCCAAGGAGACTTTCGGCTGGCAGGATCCCCTTCCCGCCAGGGAGGGTGAGCTGATTGACGATGCCGATGTGACCAAGCTCAAGTCTGACATTCTCGGCACCGCCGGTCTCGACGTCTCCAAGCTCGCCTCCGTCGCCTGGGCCTCTGCCTCGACCTTCCGTCACTCCGACAAGCGCGGTGGTGCCAACGGTGCCCGCATCGCCCTCGAGCCCCAGAACCAGTGGGTTTCCAACAACCCTACCGTCCTCACCGAGGTTATCGATGCCCTCAAGAAGATCCAGACCAGCTTCAACACCGGCGCCAAGAAGGTCTCTCTCGCCGACTTGATCGTTCTCGGTGGTGTCACCGCCGTCGAGAAGGCCGCTACTGATGCCGGAGTCACCGTCACTGTCCCCTTCACCGCCGGCCGTGTCGACGCCACCCAGGAGCAAACTGACGTCCGCGCTTTCGGCTACCTCGAGCCCCAGGCTGACGGCTTCCGCAACTACGGCAAGGGCACCGCCCGTGCCCGCACCGAGGAGATCCTTGTTGACAAGGCCTCCCAGCTCACCCTCTCCGCCCCCGAGCTGACCGTTCTTGTCGGCGGTCTTCGCTCCCTCGGCGCCACCTTCGACCAGTCCAACACCGGTGTTCTTACCGCCAAGAAGGGCCAGTTGACCAACGATTGGTTCATCAACCTTCTCGACATCTCCACCGTCTGGTCCAAGACCGACACCGAGGGCGAGACCTGGACCGGTGTCGACCGCAAGACCAAGGCCGAGAAGTGGACCGCCACCCGCGCCGATCTCGTGTTCGGATCCCACGCCGAGCTCCGTGCCATCTCTGAGGTCTACGCTAGCTCTGACGCCAACGAGAAGTTCGTCAAGGACTTTGTCGCTGCGTGGGACAAGGTCATGAACCTCGACCGCTTCGACTTGAAGAAGTACTAAAGTGCTGTCCGCACTAACCCCATTGTTTCTATGTTAAGGATTTAAGGTGTTGGCGGCTATTCTTGTATCTACTTTATATACCTCATATATTTTTTCGATTAACTACACCTTTTCGCCTTTGCCATGATCATCGTCACGTGTAACATTCTACATAGCCGTCTTCGCAGTAACGCATCTGTCCTAGACTGCTTCGTATGTGTAAGTAGTGAAATTGACGACCTCTTCAACCTACGCGGTTTCGAGTCTTCTAAAGAAGGTCTATCCGCTTATGTTCCGCAGAGCCGACTTTTTTTGGCTTCGGCTTGATGAAAATCGCAGCCAGAAGCATACATCCGGAAACGCCAGTAAAGAATGCCCACATCACACGCAGCGCAGACATGTAGCTCGACTGGCTTGCCCCAGGCGTCCCATCACTCCCTTCTTCAGAACCAAGCCTCCCCGCAGTCAGCTCTCCGCCACCGAGATTATGCTGCAACAACACGGTCCTAATAACAATCGACATCGACGAGAAGAGAGACCTCAGAAAACTAAAAGCTGACATGGCTGCCGCCATATCCTTTTGCTTCGTGTGAGTCTGGATTGAGATCATCGGACTTTGGAAAAGCACGCGGGCTCCGAAACCGGGGATCATCTGGAAAACAACAATCTTAGCCCACTGCGTGCTGAGGCCAAAGTTGATGAAAAGATCGTTTCCGAGAGTCATGAGTGCTGAGCCGAAGAAGATGGGAATGATGCAGTCGCCAGTCTTCCGGGTGTATAGCCCCCCGAGCATTGTCATGACCGTAAGCGGGATTAGCAGAGGAAACAGTGTGATTCCGGCAATAATCGGTTTAAAGCCGAGTACAACTTGGAAGTAGAGCGGCAGGAAGTAGTCGTACGATATGAAGACGAAACTGTGGATGCAAGCAAGGGTGAAAGAGGCAATGTTGGTGACTTGTTGGAAGATTCGGAATGGAATGACGGGGCTCTTGGCGAAGCGAGCCTCCCATACAACGAAGAGCGCGAGGATAAAGACCCCGAAGAGGATGAGACAGATCACCAGAGCAGACCTCCAGGGTACGATGCCACCGGCGCCTGTTTCGAGGCCGTAGAGGAAGCAGATTGTGCCGCCTATGATGAGAAGAAAATCGACCCAGTCGAGGTCTCGAAGGCCGGCGACCAAGGGCTCTTTTGGGGTTTCAACCTTAAGGGTGAAAAACAAAACCACCAAGGCAATGCCGTCGAATGGTAAGTTGATGAAGACTAGCAAACGTCAGTTTCATGCCATTTCTTATGAGATCAAGGGGGTCGCCCTCACAGCACCATCTCCATCCGATTGTCTGGGTAAAAACACCACTAAGGACCGGACCAACCGCACTTGCGATTCCATATACAATGCCGTTCATGTCATAATACTTGGCCCGATCCTCCAATTTGAAGATATCGCCAATCACAATCGTGATCAGAACCAACGAACCACCTCCCCCAAGCTCCTGAACAGTCCTCCCAGCAATTAGAACTTCAATGTTCCCAGCCAGGGCCGCGATCAAACTTCCAGCCATGAAAGTAGCCGCTGCAGTCATGATAGTAGGTTTCCGACCAAAGATATCCGACATCTTTGCCCACCGGTGTAGACGCTGTGCTTGACAACGTGTACGCGCTACCCACCCAGGCCGTGGCTTACAGAGTTGATGCGATTTTTGGAAGGACCGTGGCGATGATTGTTATGTCTAGCGCGCTGAGCAGAAGAGTCAGGCAGAGTGCACACGTAACGGCGCGGCGACGAATCGGGCTCATGTCAGGTGGCTCATACGAAGCGGCAGTGATAACTGGCTCTTGGTTGCTGAGAGTATCGCCCTATTGCTCTGATTTTGTCCCCTCTGCCTTCTCGTTCGTCTTGGCCGCAAAGCCATCGCCCATAGCGACTAGAGACGGGGTTAGATAGATTGAAGGGTGTTGAGTGCGCCCTATTGGTTCTGAGCTTTAATGGTATGGATTAAACAATAATAAATATCAACTCTGGAATCTGTAACACTGCCATTGATGAGAAGGGTCCTGAGCAATACTTTCACGAATGCCTTTGGTTCCATGGCATCCTCAGGTGGCTCGGTTCGGTTCGGTTCGGGGACCTTGGGTAATATTGCATGTCAACGGGACCACATGTCCAGTACCCGCATCCAATTGGCCAATCTTCCCGTCTAATGTCTCTTAAATCCGGAAGCTTGACTCTCAGGCCTATCTGATGTACATCCTAGGTACGTGGAGAAAAGCCTACTGGCCTTGCCTCCATCTCTATCAGCCGACCTTGGGTCATTCTCGGCCGGGGTCGATGACGGATCGGACTGGGGCTGGTACTTTTGCATCTCGCAGCCAATAGGTAGCGAGAGTTGGATCGTTCACAAAAGAATCAACCTAAACGAAAGCTGAGGTTTGTGGTTAAAGAGTTCGATTCCGCACTCTCTAGAGTTTTACGTGCCCGTGGGTGAACCAACTATTAAAACCCTCCACTCCTCTGTGAAAAACATCCGAACAAGCAGCCCGCAGCTCAAGTCAGTCAAGCAATGGTTTCCGCATGTCCCTTAAGCTCCTTCTGAATCCACCCAAAAACATCCTCTTGAAGTCTGCGATCCTGGCTGAGCTTCGATCCAGACTCGGCTTTGGCAATAGGTCCGTAGTATTGTCCGCTCTTGGCGTCGGGGCTCGCAGTCGCCCAGATCTGTGATAGGGCGCCCTTTTCCAGCGGTGTTGCGAAGAAGATGGCTGCGTATAGGAAAGGCTTGAGGAAAGTGCCTGTGGATGCATAGTGAAGACCATGCTTGGGTGAACTGGTATGATCTTGGCCTGTTTCTCTCGTTCTGCCAAAGCCTTGGCACAATGAAGGTCGGCAAGCTTTGATATCGTATATCGCTGGGTAGTGGCTCGGTGGGGCATCGTTGTTCGGATTTCGTCAAAGTTGTAGATATCGCTCGGTGCTCGGGCATGCGCAGCTGAGGAAAGCATGACAACGCGTGTCTCTCGATTAACCTTGGCAGTTTCCCTTATAATAGGGAGCAAAAGCTGAGTAAACAGCGCCGGGCCCATGACATTGGTTCCAAACTGAATCTCGTATCCTTCCGTCGACAGACCCTCGGGAGTCATCATAATGCCAGCATTGTTGACGAGTATGTCCAACCTGGATTCTTTGCTCAGGAAGTCGGCCGCTGCAGCCTTGACGCTGTCGAAAGATGCCAGGTCGAGCTTGAGGAAGGTAATGTTCGTCGCCTTGGGGTTTTCTTCCTTGAGCGTTTGGATGGCCTTTTCGGCTTTGTCTTTGGATCGAGCCGCAAGGTAGATTCGGGCTGGGTTATGTTTGCTGAGCTGTCGTATCGTCTCGAAGCCCAGGCCAACATTTCCTCCAGTCACGATAATGACCTGATCACGAAGATCAGGGATGTCGTTGGCAGTGAACGCGGGCATCTTGGAGCGAAGTAAGTGGATGGTACGAGCGTGGGTGTTGATTCGTGGAAGGTAGAGAGACTGTTGATGTTAGCTAAAGTCAAAGACGGACGGAAAGGAAAGAGGAGGTTTAATACACTGATCAGAGAAGAAGCCGAATATGAAGAAGGGAATCCTAGTGCTCGGTAGAAGGTGCTACGCGGAAGCTTCGAAGAGCCCGAAGGTGCAATGCTTGATAAGCTAGCCAAACGGGTTGATCTGGGGCCTAAGCAAGCCATTGAAGGAGGACGGGAATATTCTGGACCAAAGAAGATGAGGCGGCATGGATGTGTCTTTTGCAAAGTCCAGCCTCGACCTTCGATTCTTGAACATAAATGGCTTGAGGCTCTGGTGACCAGCTCGCGGCTTCCTTGTTGCTTACACCCCTGTCGGGCAGTTCCGGTCTAGACTTAGAACTGCCCAACGTACCTTTCTTTCAATGGAAGTAAGAGGTACTGTACGTAGGTCCGTACCTAACGTCGGGAGCCCGGTCGGGTAGGTCCAGGGTACATGGCCGGGAGTTCGGCGTTTGTTTAGGCCGGAGCAACATCCATCTCGGTGAGGTCCCGTCGGGTCTCCGGTTCTTTTTGACTTATGCATGATCATGCCATCGTTCCATAAGGCAGCCTACCTCACTCGGGATAACGGCGTCCTGTGGCTTGAAGCATCTCCGTTCTCCATGTCCTAGACATCACAGATGCTGTCGGCCCCGAAATTCTCGTGGCCGCCCTCGGAGCATCAATCTTCGGGCTGCGACGAGTCTCTATGACTCAGTCTCCGAGGCAAGTCGACTCCTATCAGCACGTTGTCTCCGAAAAGTCCATTCCGTTGCGGAGCGTGCTGTAGTTGTCTCCGAAAGTCCCTGATCAAAATCCGGTTAACAATTAGTGACAGACTCGATACTTCGAGAGTTAGGTTAGACGCGTGGAGTTGACCGTGGCTTCCGGACTTTCAACGGTTGACGGGGTTTCTATCGAGAAATTCACCATAGGTCGTTGTGCGGAGATCACCATTTCCTAGCGCACAGCAGCTAATCTTATGTCTGAAGTTTGACGGAGAACCCCCGCGTCTTTACATACAGCCCGTGGTGGATGACTCGTGGGTTCTTCGGCTTTGAACAGAATGTAAAGGCATAAATGAGCCTTTCCAGTTGGTCGTCGACTGAGGTGACCAAACTGGAACCAGCCTAGCACGAGTTTGAATGGTTCCTCTTTTGCCACCAACACTGAAGATGGACGAATGACAGGCTTTCAACTCTGAAAGAACATCCATCGTCTACGAGAGAATCCGCACGCGAGATATACGGAACGTCAAATCAAGATGGAGCCCCGACAAGTAGAAGCACCTGATGATGCTGACGATTGGACGGGCGTGGCGAGCGCCGCCGAAAGAAGGAGACGACAGAACCGGGTCCATCAGAGAGCCTACCGTAGGTCCATTCGACAACCGGGTTGTCAAACGTGCTCCCTCCTTAGCGAAGAATGCTGACAACACAATTCAATTAGGCCAAAAGAGACATATGAAGCGCATTGCACTCAACAGCACTGCAACTCCATCTGCAGCAGAACCCCGGGCCGAGACATCTCTTGTACCGGCTGCAGCGCCTAACAAGCGGAGATCCATGACTCCATCGCAGATGCAGGAGATGCTTGGGATATACTACTTGCTCAGGTGCTCAGGCATACGCGAGAACGTCGCCGAATTCCTTAAAAGAGCCTCTTCGAACTGGACCTTGGGGGTCCCCACACCCAGAGATCTCCCTGCTCTTACGAGGGTCAATGCATTCGACGCGCTGGCGAGAAACGCACTGGTACTAGGCATTCCGGTAGACTTGATCGAGAGTGATGATGGCGACTTTCTCTTCATACATCAAGGCCCGGCGCGGCCCGGGTCATCTAACGAGGTCCTCCCGCCCCATCTCTCGCCGACAGCGCTGCAGAGGACTGTGAAGCATCACCCGTGGCTGGACCTCTTCCCAATGCCAAAGATGAGAGATAACATACTTCGTGGCATCGAAGCGGGCGAGGTAGATGAAGATGAGCTGTGCAACGCTTTAGTATGCGACCTCTTGGACTTGGATTCGCCCTCCAAGTCATCGCTTGTCATATGGGGGGACGCTTGGGACTTGAATGGATGGGAGTTGGGTCCGGAATTCTTTAGAAAATGGGGCGGGCTACTGCAGGGCTGTCCTGAAATGCTTGCTGCTACCAACTACTGGCGACAAAAGAGAGGGGTAGGAAAGATAAGGGAGATCTGCTCGGGAGGCTCTCCGGTGTTGAATGTAACATGATTATGAGACGGCGGTTCCCCTTATCGTTCTCGGTAGGAGACTGCAGATCCAGCAGAGCCGTTGGGAGCAGCTTCGAGGGCCCCATGTCTAACAGCTCATCCCCAATCGTTGGGTGCAGGTCTCCAATCCCGATAGAGTGAAGTGTCTATTCCATAGTGTTTGGACAACATAGCGAGGCTCGTGGGAATGTTCGTCGTGGTTCGCGTCAACATTGCCTGTGTACCTGAGTTAACGCCTTCTCCAGAGCGGTGGTCTGCTGGCTGTAGGTCTTCGTCGTAGACCGCAGCCAGACGTGAAGCCTTCGGCATCGGGAAGATCAGCCCACAGCCGACCCGAGCCAATAAAGTCCGTGACTGGATCGGCCTGAATCAGGTTGCAAGATACGGAGGCGGAGGCCACATGTGGCGGCCATGTCTACGCCGCCTCAACTCGCATGGCAAGCTGGCTGAGCGCCGTGGCTGCGTTTCCGGAGTCGCGGACGGAAGCGGCAAATTTGTGGTCCTCAGTCCGCCACTTGCGCACATTGATGAGCACAACTCCGAAATCGAGCAGCTCAGCTTCCGAGGTTATTGCTCGGCAGGGTGTTGTTAGTCCGTTCTCGAACTGATCACAGCGCTGGTCCCAGGTGAGGTTGTCCGACCGGGCCACATCCGCATGCTCCCCGGCAACGACCGAGCTAAGAGTGTCTGGTTTATCTTGACTGGTGACGTTGGCGATGAGTATGTAGCCAGCCCTGCTGCAAGAAAGACTGATGGATGACCCAGTGTGTCACCTCTGCCGCGTTAGGGACGTTCGGAGAGTTACTCAAGATATCGTCAGGAATATCGACGTTGACAATTCGCGCTGAAAAGAGCTTTGAAGTGTGATGTTAATTTTCCTCCTGTTCACGTCTGGCAGAGCTCGAATAGATAGTCAGACGGCCCAAGGGCAGCATAAAGCCAACATAGTGTGAGTGGAACAGCCACACCGAGACGCCAACTAAGTCTACTGGGAAGAGCACCAAAATTTGGGCCTAGTCCGAAGGATGACATGGTACTGAAAGGAAAGAACAAGGTCCGAGAAACCAAGTTGATGCTCCTTGCTGTAGCTATGTTGAGAACGGGCAAGGAATAGATTTCAAGGAACAGAGGTCAGAACAAACGTGAAAGATTATTACTAGGAAGCGGATGGGAAAAAGAAGGCAACTGGGCGGAAGTAGCAGTACATTTTTTTGTCCACATTTCAAGGCCGAGGCTGGCCTCTTCACGAACCTTCTGGGAGGAAATGGAGATTCTCGTGACTACAATACGAACCTCTAATATTTATTGTTCACTTGGTGCTTCCCCCTTGATCGTGTGTAGAAGGCTAAACGGTGATGGACCTTTAATTACGCGGCCCTAGCCTCTAATCCCACATTCCAGTCTAAGTCAGAGACCAGGTAAACGATGGTCATGTCTTAACTAGAACCAGAAGCCATGTCCCAGGTTATGGGTAAAGCTGTAATAGCAAGGCCGCAGACGGATGGTCCTGCCGACACAGCTCTAGCCGTAAAAAATGTTCCCCGCCGCTAATTTGGCGCAAAAACGCCCTGGTTTGCACTCAAGGCCTCGATTCTGGAACTTCGGTATTCGATATGTTAGTCTCCCGCACTTTCTGTCGGACACGACCTGATTTCGTCGCAGCTCTATCAGAGTTCGACTTCTGGACCACTTGGAAAGATCCGTGTTTTTTTTTGCCATGTCAGCATCATTTTTCGCCGCGAGACCATTGCCAGGGGTGTCTGGTTGGCCATCTTGTATCTTGGGGTACCTAGGTAGTCGACGCTCAATATGCCCCTGGGCTGAGACATTTCATGGCGCCAGACTTAACCCGGAAGTGCAAGATAATTTGTCCTAGCAGATTCACTTCGGATCGTGCAGGTGGCCATCTTCTGCGCTGCACGCCCTTGGATAATTAGCGTCTTATTATCAGGTTAGACAGTCGGTAGAACGAGAAGACAAGACATCGCAGCTAAACTTTGTGCCACCAGCGGTTCTTTTGTGCAATCCAAGTAACGTGTGACTCTTAGTCTAGGTGACCTTGTATAAATCCATCCGCCCCTTGATCCTCCGAGGTGTGGCATTTGGATCTGCTCAAAGGCATGGTGGCAAACCAGGTAGGCGGCATTAGGGACGCTCATACTGTTTCAGATGACTCACGAGGATGAGCCTAGGCCCTAACATTAGGCTTGGTACATGTCGATGCCATCTGCTTGGCGCCGTATCAACTTGGAAAAGTCCAAACAGAGGGTATTATGCTAGCTACTAGGAAAATTTCTAAGTTGAGACGCGGGAGAGAATCGTGTAAAACACTTCCTGACGTTTACTCGCATCTGGAGATCCCTCATAGGCCCGACGCAATTATTGGAGGAGCGTATCCATGGTCCATCTTATCTGTCAACTTCGGTAGCCAATCGATTTGATAGCATGTAGTCCCTAATTTTGAGCTTGGGAAGCAAAAGTAGTGACATCGTGCTCTGGCCGTCTTCCTACAAATCTTTAATCCAAAGTTGCCACCTTGAGCTTGATCTTGCCCAAATGACGGGTGTCTTGACATTGTGGATGTCGGACAAGAAGTGGACGGCGAATGGGATTAGGTATCGCTATCATCATCGTAGTATACGATCAAGCCTGTAAAACGAGTTGATCTGAGGTTGTCATGGCCGGGATTCTGGGCAACAGCGTGGTAAATGTGTTCTTGTTGGGATGACACAGAGCATGTGGTGTGCAGTTATTGCTTCGGCAATTTCCGTGCAGACAAATGGCCAAGAAAGCTTAGCAGCAAGACGTAGCGTTTCTAGGGTCAAAATCCAAACTTACCATTCAACGCAGGGCGAACCTTATAGCCTGAATCACTCAGTGGTCAAGATACGATTCCAGCCCACCGGCATTCCTCCCAGGCACGCCAGGGTAAGAAATGGTTATGTCTCACATCAGCCCTTGATTTGTGGTCGTCTCCAAGCCACACTCACCCCCGGCTGACACGCGGTGAACTCTCTAAATGATAAGCGCCGGGAAAGTCATTTGTTAGGAAGCATGCGAGTGTATCTTTTGCCTCATAGCAATCCATTTTGAGAAACACGTTAAACTTTGCGGGCTGGAGGCGCCGACGGAGATGTTCGTTGGATCGAAAGTGCCCCCCCCCCCCCCCCCCAGTAGTCTGCGTATAATAATGCATGGTAAGGACTTGGGCGAAGGCGATCTGTGTGTTGGGCAACAAGATAACGATGTTCTTTTCTCCATGCCGTGATGGTTAAATGTCGTTCAAAAGTACATCAGCTTGATGTGGTGGCAACACACATGGTTGGCTGTATACCTACGAGAGAAGCAGGGATGGGCCGAAACTGAAGAACAGGGAACTCTTCGCTGCCCCTTCATTATCTCCATGACGTCTCGGCACATGTCTGCCAAGGGGAGCGAATTTTACTAGGTAGACTGCCTCAGAGAGCCCCTTCGATGTGGATGAGACATGTCTTTGCCAAAGACCGTGGGGAACGCAGATTTAAACAGGGCCAATGCACCGAGTTTCCCAACTTGATAATACACCCCCGACATTTGGTTCAGGTATGAGTGCAGCCATTTAAACCTCTTTCCCTAGAAGGCGGCGCCTCGGCTGGCGACTTTCATGCCACCGTCCGCATCTTTCGAAGGGAGTTCCGGTGATCGAAGTGCCCGTGGAGGATAGCACAGCAGCTTTGGCGCTCGAAGATTCCAAGAACAGCGGCATCTAGAATGGTAGTATGTGGATGATCCCGATCGACCTTGACCCCTAGCACCAGACTGCTACGCAAGGGAAATGGATTCGAAGACCAAGCGTTCCTTAGAGCTACTCTGGATAACAAAGGGACTTCGCAGGCCGGAGTGAGCAACATGGACCTGCTCAGATCGGACCGCTTGTTGCAACGGAAGTATTTATTGCAAATACTAGAATCGTTTCTCAGTCGATTGAACAAACCATCCCGACACAACTTTAGACCCCGCATTGTCTTCTTCACCGCCAACATGGGGAAGTTTCTAGTCGAGCCTTTCACTGTCCCTGACCGAGAGCCGGCTTGGAGACGAAGGGCTCGGTCTCCTCTGTTGCCTATTCTTGTCATCTTAGCAGTAATTATAACTTGGTAAAGTCCTTTAGGCACGGTGAATATTGCCCAACATCAACGTCTTTATTGAAAGCTGCTGATACTGACTAGAAGTTTGACGGCAAGACCGTTGATCATCCTTTGGACCGTCAGTCCGAAATCGTCCCTTCGACGGCGAGACAGGCGTTCTACAATCCGACTCCGACTCAGGAAGAAGAACACAATGCTTTTTAGGTTCTTATTACGACCCAACATACATAAGAAGGCCAGTGGGCCCGCCCCGCAGGCCTACGGCGGCTATCTACTAAATATATATAGAGAACCCGGGAACTTAGGTAACTCCTTACGGAACGGAAGAACTATAGACAAGTTACGTAATAATAAGGAGGTAAGTATACGATAACGTACATGATAAGCGAGTGGGCCAGACAAGCGAGTGGGCCACCCAACCACGACCACATGACTTGAAGGAGCAAATATCAACACCCACCTCATGGATTCAATCCAAACTATTCAGAGTCCTCTTCCTCAGACATTTCCTTATTAAATCGATATGTTCGCGCATTATAACCAGTGTTCCCGCAGACGCCACATCGTCGTTAGCCCGTCTTAGTCCTCGGTCGGCGACCACTACTCCGGCGCGTTTCCTCCTCTACCTAGGCTATAGCCTCTCTCTACGACTAAAGGTCCTCTCCCTTAGCTATAGTAAGGCTTCCTCCTTATCGGAGACGGTTTTTCTTAGCTCTCCGGCGTCGACTAAGTAAGTTATTCTCCTCTCGAAGGATCTGGTTCTCGGATCTTAATAAGGCGATCTAGTACATAAATCCACGAGCCCCCTTAGATAGATGCTCTATAGCTTCGATAATTAAAGTTGGTAAGCTGTTTTGATAACGGGAGATTCGATTCTTAATAAGTTCTAACTAAGAAGATACTTCCGTTAACTAGGTTATTTAGTATCTAAGAAGTCTATACCGGTGGTGTTATCGGGAGGGATCCTGGAGGCGTCGGAATACGTAACTTCATATCAAGCTTTGAGAGCACACTCTACACTCAAAGGCACAATTCCTGCCCCTCTGAATCCTCCCTAGATGTTTTTCTCCGTAATCGCTTACGTAAAAGCCCTGTAAAACGCCGGGAAAAAGTCCTCCTTAGTAATATACGTATTACCCCGACGCATCTTATCCTCGATTTCTCGACCGTACGCCGTTTTTAAAGGCCCAAAACATCCAATATCCAAGGGCTAGAGTAGATAAGACGAATAAGCCGGCATATACAGGGTAACGATGTTATTCTTCTTACAAAAAATCTCGAAATCCGCGGAGTAGTGACTTTCGTGTCCGTCGATGACGAGGAGGCGGTATTGACCCTTTGCTCGCGGTCTTATATGCCGTTCGAAGTGCCGAGCCTAGTCTAGACCTCTTTCATTTGTTGTCCATCCATTTTCAGGCGTTACGATGACCTAGTCGTGTGGGAGACCGGATTCCGTGTACCAGGTGGAGAGGTGATATTGGCCCGCAATGATGATGTACGGCGGAACGCTGTAGCCCGACGGGCTGATGGCCTGAATGACCGTAACCCATTCACGATTGCCAGGCTGCATCATTTTCGTGTTTGAACGTCTTTCGGCACTGGTCACGACCATGCCGGTTGAGATCTGGCCTATTATAAAGCTAGTCTCGTTAAAGTTGTAGATGTTTGAGTCTACGATGCCGTACTTCGCGATTGTGTTCGCCACAAGCAAGAACCACGCGTTAATTGCGCCCGGATCTTCGCATTGGGCCCTTTTGTAGTTGTACTTACGAAAACGACGCGTTCGCAGCTCTAGTTGTCGCTTTATGAAGTTCGAAGCCTATCGCTTCCTAACATGGGGCGCGTCATGATTAGCAAGTAATCGATTCGCCATTTCTTCAACACCGCGAAGACGGGGAGGAAAGCATCTGGCGTCCAGGTCGAGGATGTACTTAATCAGCTTCTTCTCTTCTAGCAGTATCAAATTCCGTGAGTTGGGTGTGTGTGCTATTACGTCGTGATAACGTTCCCTCTAATCTGCGGCCTAAGGTAACGCGATTGATGTTATAATGCTTAAATAGCGAATACGTAGAATGGGACGACTGTAGACACGACCAGTGCTAGATCCACTACTTACCCAAGGTAAAGGCCTGGAGAGAACACTAAGAACGAATCGAACAAGATGTTAGACTAAGGAACAGAATGATAAAAAACTAAAAACGCTAATCGACAAGAGATACCGAAAGGCGGAGAGTAAGGATAAGCGCCTATACTTAATAACACGTCTTAACGACGAACATCTGAGAGTGAGACTCTAGATAAACGGATATAATATATACGCGATTATCGACAGCGGCGCTTAACGAACCTTTATATTACTAAAGATAGTGAATAAGTTAGACCTTCTATAGGTATAGAAGGAAGAACCTTATACCCTATAGAATATAGAAGGAGAAAGAGTTAGGTATGACGAAGGAGTTGTCATTCGCGAGACTGTATACCTTACGATATACGTTAACAATTATCTAGAATAACTCCAGTACGACATTATGGAGATCGGAGATATCGATATCATCCTAGGAATCTCGTAGTTATAAAAGCATAATCCACGGATAGATTGGGTGAATGGCCACATCTAATGGACAGATTTAGTCACTGAACGACCTAAAAAATAGGGTTTAAACGAGTCTTACGCAATACCTAACGAATAAACGAAATATATTGCCTACGTTAGATACGTAGAGCCTACTAGGGCGTTAGCACCCGGCACGGGCGATTAGGGATCGAACCTATTCTAGACTATACCCGAGGAATACCGGAAGTATAGCTAACTGTTCGTTTCTAAGGAAGGAACAGGACTACTAGAATATAGTAGCTAGGACATGGAAATCGAACTTAAAGAAGGAACATAACTAAAGTTCTACCTACTGTACCCTATGAACCAATAAGAGTAGGAAGAGCTCAATAAATATATCGACGAAAAGCTCGTAAAAGGGCATATTAGACTGTTACGAGCTGGACAAGGCAACCAACTGTGGCACAAAGCAAAAGCTTCGATAATGATGACCCCGGTCATCATTGTCCCTTGTTCTGCATATATAGCTACGCGCCCACAGTGACAAGTTGCGGCGGGCGTAACATAGACCCTTATCATTACCCGCTGGAGCACTACTCTTCTTCGTCCCGAAGAAGGGGAAGAAGAAATTAAGACCTATAATCGATTATAGAGGACTTAACGTAATTACTAAGAAGAATTGCTACCCCCTACCCTTTATTACAGAGCTTAGAGATCTATTATACGGAGCCCAATGGTTCACCAAAATAGATCTTAAAGAAGCATTTAACCAGATCCGAATTAAGGAAGGAGACGAATAGAAAATAGCATTCCGAACCCGCAGAGGACTCTTCGAGTACCTCGTCATGCCCTTTGGACTCACCAACGCACCCGCCACGTTCCAGACAATGGTAAACCATGTTCTTAGAGAATATATAGACATCTTCGTTATTATCTACATCGACGACGTCCTTATCTTCTCCCTAAACATAGAGATATATAAGGAATACGTCCATAAGGTATTCTAGAAACTTCAGGACGCGAAACTCTTTGCTGAACCTGATAAATGCGAATTCTATATATAACGAGTCGACTTCCTCGGATACACGATCACACCCAGAGAAATCCACATGCAAGAATCGAAGGTAGAAGCAGTTAAGGACTGGCCTACACCTCAGAACGTCAAGAACGTTCAATAATTCTTAGGATTCGTCAATTTCTATCAACGATTCCTCAAAGACTATGCTAACATAGTTAGACCTCTTAACAACCTGACACGAAAGGATATGCTATTTATATGGGGCGATAAATGCGAAGAAGCATTCGTCAAGGTCAAGAACATGGTGGTTTCCGAACCAACTACGACGATCCCAGACCCAAGGACACCATTCGAAGTCGAGACCGATGCCTTAGACTTCGCCATGGGAGCATTCCTAGGACAACGAGGCGAGCAAGGAAAACTTTACCCTTTTGCATTCTACTCCAAAGCATTCCACGGAGCAGAATTGAATTGGTAAATCTACGATAAAGAACTAATGGCCATAATCAAAGCCTTTTGAGAATAGAAACCATAGCTATTAGAAACCAAGTATGAAGTTACGGTCTATATAGACTATAAGAATCTTATAAACTTTACGACGAACAAGAACCTGAACAAACGATAAGTTAGATAGAGTGAATTCCTCTCCGAATTTAATTTCCGAATCATCTACAGAAAAGGTTCAGAGAACAGTAGAGCCGACGCTCTTAGTAGAAGACCCGACCACGAGGTTAAGGTCCCCAAGGAAACGTAAGTTATCCTTAAATACGACGACGATAGTAACCTTATACCTACTACGAAGCTCCTTATAATAACTAGGAAGATCAATACCAGCCCGACTAGAAGAATGACCCCTCAGCTCATCATGGAAATTCATAGCGCTAAGGTATACGGTCACCAAGGCGTTACAAAGACATGGAAACGAATTCGATAATATTACGATAAGTTTACCACGCGAGCAGAAGTCGCCGTAGTAATCAAGGATTGTAATATTTATAAGAAGAGCAAGAACAGCCCCCATAAGCCCTATAGAGAGCTATAACCGCTTCCGATACCACCCGAAGCATGGTACTTAATCTTATAGGACTTTATCATTAAACTATTAAATTCTAGAGAGCCACTCACGAACGTACTGTACGATAGTATCTTGGTCATCGTCGATCGACTTACCAAGTTCGCCTACTTCGTACCATACAAAGAAGTAAGCAATACAGAGGAACTGGCATAAGTTATACCTTCCTTAAGACTATTGTTGCCAACCACGGTCTACCCAAGGAAATTGTCTCTGACAGAGATAAGCTGTTCACCACTAAGTTTTGGAGATCCCTGATCTCGCAACTCGGTGCAGACCATAAGCTATCAACCTCTTTCCACCCGCAGACCGACGGACAGACAGAAAGGATTAATCAAATCCTCGAAATATACCTTCGTTATTATGTGAACTACGACCAGAATAATTAGGTATCGCTACTACCAATGGCCCAATTCGCATATAATAGCGCAGTTGGCGAGAGCACGAGAGAATCCCCGTTCTATCTTAACTATGGATTCCAGCCAACAGCGTACGGAGAAGCACGACAGGGACCACAGGCCGTGAAAGCCGTGGCCGACGTAACAAAACTCAGAGAGCTCCAGAAGAAGGCTTCTCAGGACCTCGAGTTTGTACAGCAGCGCATGAAGAAGAACGCCGACAGATCAAGGATTGGAGGACCAACCTTAGAAGAGGGGGATAGCGCCTATCTCCTTCGACGCAACATCAAGACGAAAAGACCAAGCGACAAATTGGACTACAAAAAACTTGGACCCTTTGAAATCGTTAAGAAAGTCTCACTAGTTAATTGTAAACTGAGACTCCCA